GAGGGGTGTCAGCTTGGAGATTGGAGGGCTGGGAAGTTGGTTGAACTTGGTGGTGGTGGTGGTGGTGGTGGTGGAATAATAGTGGTGGTGCCAGTGGTCGCCGTCTGGCTGTCTGGACTCTGGCGGGGTATTGGCGTGGGGTTTGCTGCGCTACACAGTACGAAGTACGAGTAGCGATCATCATACTAGACCGATAGTCAGTTGATGTCTCGCCTTCACCATGCTACTGTATGTACTCCGTAGCGCGTGGATGATGTTAAGGATAACGCCCAGTAAGATGGTCCGCCGGTGATAATACAATAAGTGAAGCAGGTAGCCAGCCCATTGAAATACTGGCTAAGAAAAGGTAGGCTTTACCTCTGCTTTCCTCTAGGAACCACCCTCACTGGTGCTACATAAGATACCTACCTACCTTCCTTTACCTCGTACTGCCTCCCTCGTTGAACGAGCTGATTAGTCCGCATATAGCTGGTGCAGCGGGGGGAGCTTAAGAACGGCTTAACTCTTCATAAGCCTTCCAATAAACCGGACTCGAACTTGCAAGAACTAAGGTAAGCGATCCAAGTACACCTGAATGCATCAATTGATCATTACGTAGACGCTTCCTGTACGCGCAATTTATATATATATGAATGCCTCAGTCGTTGGTCCTGTTGGTGGAGTCAACTCCCGCGCCTTGACGATAGTTCTTCTCCACGAACCTACCTCGGATATTTATGCGCAACCATACTCATTAGGTAGGCATGATAAAGAGACAAAGAGATACACTCCCCCAGCCACCGTAAACAGCCAAGGCGAGCGTCAAAGGTGTTGTATACCGGTAGCAAGCGGGGGCCTCCCCTCCCGACTCCTCCCCGCTCCTCCCTTCTCCCCCGGATGCTTCCTTCGTTCTCCCCATAAACTACGCTTCTTGCTTCTTCCTCTTGCCTCTTTGTCTGCGATGAAGTATCGGAGGCATATATCAATCAAGCCTTACCGTGTTGGTTGCTCTGCCAAGCCCTTGTGCCGCTGGCTGAATTGCCCTTGCTCGTGAGCCACACCTCCCCTTGCTCCTCGATCTTTCGGCCGGTTATGCAATAGTTAGGTACATACATGTAGGTCGAGATGATCACTTCTTCCAATCTTTCAACTCTGACCACATCTTGTCAACAAATTGGAAGACCATCGTGACAGCCTGCATGACATCTTCCCCAACATCCTGGCCTCCGAACTTGCGATGCAGCTTATCGGGGTGCCAACGAACTCGTTCCAGTTTCAAGATCTTCCCTAGTTGCGCTTCCGTAGGTTGCCCAGACGTCGGCGCATAAAGAAAGAACCTCTCCACCTGCTTAAAATCAACATCTCTTTTCTTTCCACTCTCGACTGGCCAAGGTATCGAAGCTATCCCGACCTTGGTCTCCGTGTCCTTGCCGAGTTCATCCCACTTCCTCGTATATGACTCCCAAGCTTCTCCCCAAGCCTTCCTCTTCTTTCTCTCCTCTCCCCTTTTCAAGCTCTCCTCCATCTTTCTCCTGAACTTCTGGGCTTCCTTCTCCTGCTCCTTCCCTTCCTTCGCTAACCGCTCTCGTTCCTTCTTCGCCTTATCCCTTCTCGCCTTCTCCTCGAACAAATGCTGATGCGTCTTCTCATACATCTTCCCCCTCACGAACGCAGTATATTCCTCATCCGTCATCTGTTCCAGCTCGCCAGTAGGACCTTGTTTGACATCGGGATACGTGTGAATCGGTTGACCGTAAACGCCCTCCCAAAACGCTGCACCTTCGTCATCAGCCATAGCATCAAACAGGCTCTCCCGGAAGGCAACATCTGGATCTAGAAATTGGCCCGAGGAAGCGTTGGGCAGGTGTGTATCATCGTAGAGTGATGGGTTATGCTGGTCCCCAGCAGTAGGGGGCGAGGGCTCGCGCCGTTTGCTTCGGTGGGAGTTGCGGTGGCGTTTTCCATCGCGATGGCTTCTATGAGGGGATCGAGGCCGATCGTCGTCGCTGTGTTTCCTTTTCGATTTAAACCGGAATCGCGATTTGTGTGATGCCTGGTATTCATCTTGGTTTTGGCCGTCTCGGTGCGAAGTTTCACTTGCGGCGGCTTCGCCGCGTTCAGCGTCAGACGTCATCGCTGTTGGAGATGCCAGGGACTATTTGGATACCTCGAAAGAAGCATCGTCTTGTTGAAACCCCCTAGGGATACCAGATTTGAGAGGTGGCCGTCGATTCCACGTTGAAGAACGGATGTTGATCCTAAAGTTGGAATTATTTGTAGGGTAATCGAGAGCCGTGTACACCAACACCTGCCTTATCTAATCTTGATTATTCTACGGCGGCCTTTAGAGACCATCCAGTCCCTTTTTTGCCTTAGGGAACACAAGGTTAGGTAAGGCACCAACAAGCTCTTCAGCACACGATCACAACCACAACTCGACCGATTCCAACGACCATTCCCCCACCATCGTGTTTTGACGACAAATTTCGCCGATCACAATCAAGTTCTATATTTTATCTGTCCAATTATAGCCCTAGTTAATTGCTGGCCTATCAATTCGAGCCAATTTGCAATTTTATTTCCATTTCAACGATTTCACATGTGGGTCCAATACTGTCAGAACCTGGGGAAGCGTGCTTAACTAGGAGGAATCCGGGGCCGGATTGATGGGGATAATACGGGGATATGGGACTTGTTTCACTCTGGTCAATTCTTCCTATTGGCCCACTATGTTATTCGTCTCTACAAGTTGTACTTGACTCCTCTTCCAGGGAACATGCCGCAACAAACGTATATCATATCCATCTATTGCCGTCTATTACCATTCCACGCAAGGTTGGCGCATCTAAGCCCTCTTCATTTTCATGCCGTCTTAGCAACGTCTTTATTGCAATAGCCGCTATGTCCGGCGTTGATTCTTCAGATTTTATATATAATATCGCTACTTTCACTCCTATCAACCCTTTTCTACACCATCCTGAGCCTTTATCAAAGGCACGAGGATAGAAAGACTCAATCGCCAAGGTTTAAACTTTGATAAGAACTTCGAGAAGTCTCGACTTAACTCGCCGTTGACAATGATTGGCAACATCTATGTTATCACCGCGATCGCGGTGATTGGGGGTAGTCTGTTTGGATTTGACTTGTCGTCAATGTCAGCTATGTAAGTCCAATGCTGGTTAAAACGCCGAACTTGTAATATGCCAACTATAACTCATGCCGCCTACAGAATAGGCACCCGGCAGTACAATTGCTATTTCAACCAAGGGCCCCATGGACCTCCGTTTGACGACTCCCCAAATTGCTCTGGCCCTCGGTCTGACATACAAGGCGGCATTACTGCTTCAATGCCTGGTGGTTCTTTCATTGGAGCTCTTTTGTCGGGCGTCTTGTCTGATAGGCTCGGCCGGAAATCAGCAATCCAGGTTGGGTCCGTCATTTGGTTAGTGGCCACGACCTATCTTCCTGTGATATTTGCGTGGAACATCGAGCATCCTTTCGCTAACTCAGATCTACCACTACTAGGATCGTTGGGAGTATCATTATCTGCGCCACGCAGAACATTCCCATGTTGATGGTGGGCCGCTTTATCAATGGGCTGTCCGTTGGAATCTGTTCTGCCCAGGTCCCAGTCTACGTGGCCGAGCTTGCACCTCCCCACCGCCGAGGCTTGGTGGTGGGAACACAGCAGTGGGCCATCACCTGGGGTATTCTAATTATGTTCTACCTCTCATATGGCTGCTCCTTCCTCGATGGAAACATCTCATTCAGACTTCCCTGGGGCTTACAAATGATTCCTGCCATTCTCCTCTTCTTTGGACTTTTACTGCTGCCCGAATCTCCTCGATGGCTAGCAGGAAAAGACCGATGGGAAGACTGTCATAATGTACTAGCATTGGTTCATGGTAAGGGTGACCTTAACGATACCTTCGTCCAGGTAGAATTACAGCAGTTGAAAGAAACCTGTGATTTCGAACGCAGTAATCCCAGTCAAAGCTATTTGGAGCTTTTCCAGCCCAACATGATCTGGAGAACGCATATTGGTGTCTCTGTTCAGATCTGGTCTCAACTGAGTGGAATCAACGTGATTATGTTATGTAAGCAACGGCTAGAATCTCAACGCGGATCAGTTCTTTGCTAATACACTATTAGATATTACCTATGTATTCGGCATGACCGGCTTAAGCGGCAACGCGAACTTGGTCGCATCGTCAATTAGCTATGTGATCAACATGGTTGTTACCATTGTTGCTCTTCTCTATGTCGATCGGGTTGGACGTCGTTTCGCACTCATCGGAGGTGGTATTTCCCTCACCATATGGTGGTTCGTTTGTGCCGGTCTGATGGGTAGTTACGGCTCACCCGCACCACCAGGAGGCCTCAACAACATTGCAGCAGTAAGCTGGTTGATCACTGGCGCTCCTTCAAAGGCTGTTATTGCATGCTCCTATCTTGTTGTCGCTTCCTTCGCACCAACATGGGGTCCTGTGTCTTGGATCTACCCACCAGAACTGTTCCCGTTACGCCTCCGAGGCAAAGCTGTCGCACTCGCCACATCAAGCAACTGGATCTTCAACTTCGCGCTCAGCTACTTTGTACCGCCTGCGTTTGTCAACATTAAATGGAAAACCTATATTATTTTTGGGGTGTTCAGTCTTGCAATGACTATACACTGCTTTTTATGCTTTCCAGAGACGTCTGGAAAGACGCTAGAGGAGATCGAGGAACTGTTTTCAGGGAACACTCGAGCTTGGAGAACAGGCGTGGCAAAGAATCGTCTTCGGGAAATGGACACCAATGATGTTGAACTTGAGGGGATTAAGGCCCCAGTGCATCTCGAGAATGTGTCGGATAAGAGTAAGGATTCTTAGATTATCATCTACCATATTTGAAGAGGCTGCTTGGCGGAATATTTACAAATGCGGGAGATGGGCCTGGGAGGGAAATGGAATAAGGTGAAATGGAAATGGGAGATGCATGTATATTAGATTCTACACTATTGGGAATCTCTTGCAAAGATATTGCATATTGATCACCATGATCATCACCGGCTATTATTACTCGAAACTCTTCTATTTCTACGATCCATTAGTAACCTAGGCCTGGTGCTAATTTTATCTTCTTCATGGCCCCTTCTTGGTCACTAAATGAACATCATTGATTAAACATGCCAAAATTTGACACGGTAATACTGGATTCTGATTTCGAACCATAAGTGTTATCTACTCAATTTCAAGCTAGGAGCCCTGTGTTCGTTTTCCAACTTTTACCTACTATTAACAAAGGCATACGTACACCAGATGGGCCATGAATCTCGGCCTGCTTGATAGTATAGATTGTTGGGGGAATTATTACCCCACTATTCAACTGCTTAACTACATATTTGGAGCTGTCCCTGCGGCGAAAAGCTCTGTCTCCAAAGTAGAGAAGCTCGGGTAGAAAGGGTTGAAATCTGGAATTGCTCCAAAATCGGCTTCTAGAATCGATAGATCCATATTGGACGGAAAGTTATAGGTTGCATCGTTCAGGGTTGTGTTCGAGGCATTTTGCGCTTGGTCCTCATGAGAAGCTGGGAATGCTCCTGGGTTGATCTGGGTTCCTTCCGGTCTAGCGGTAGATAGCGTTGTGGGGGATGTCTTTTCGTTGAACCATAGCCTTTTCAAGAGTTTGCTATACCGATAGCCAATATGACGATCGCTGGTGGCCGCGTCGCTTAGAACACGGATAAACCGCCTCACCAGATCCATTACGTCGTTGTGTTCTACGGCTGAGAAGGCGCCGAAAAAGTCGGCTTTGTATAAAAACACAGCTGAGTAAATTGTGTACCTGCATTTACTTATTAGCCGTTGATATACTTCATCTCCGACGTTTAAGCTTACACATAAAAGCGAAAGGGCATGTAGCGAATGTGGGCGACTGGATCAGTTTCGACCGCAATACTTAGAATATTTCTGGCGGCATTCACCGCTTCATATATATAAGCGCCATCTGCCGATGCCATGATACCTTGCGGGAAGAGAGATTGTACTCGGTCGCGGCGGAATGGGGAAGATGTAGCTATTCCATTTCGGCTCGCCCGCGATAGAATAGACTGAAAGGAGAAAGCATTTACATATAAACGGACATATTCAATGACAATACGAAGCGTACTATGAAGTTTTGGTGATGCCTTCAAATTCCCCCAACAATCCTGCCATGTTGAGAGTGCCTTGCGGAAATCATCTAGATATCGATTGTAGTCGCCTGACAACATCATTTGTAAAGTCCGTGCTTTGGCGGAGTAAAGTATATCATGAACATTATGTAAAAGCTGAGTGAGCTCGATTGTAGCTTGCAATACAGAAGCATAGCTGTGTTCAGCATCCTCGCTGAGCTGCAAGCTAGGGAAGTCATCGGCTGTAAAGCGGGACGATAACGAAGGCCCTCGAGACCAAAAAGACTGTCCCATTCGAACTGATATTTGTCGATCAGAGATGTACACGACTATTAATTGTCAGCATGTGATAACTTTTATATTCATACCTACGTGAAGATTCAGACTTACATATCCACGCTAACCGTTTGCGATTTTCTATTTCTTGAGAGTCGCTAGAAACCGTTCCCCGGAATGAAGTCGTATCCAGCCCCAGGAGGTATGAATGTCTTACTGCCTGGCCGACTAGGGACCAAGCCGTATTGTCTTCTACTGCACTAAGGTTTCGATGATCTAGCTTTGTATTCCAGCATGTTTCGGGTAGCTCATAAGGAACCCACTCTGCGAGCAAGAGAAGGCCCTCCACGGAGCCAACATTCAGGGTGGATGGGACGGCCAGAAGAACATCAAGCATAAGGCGTTTCATCGACTGCCAGCAACGTTGATGGATATCACGAAGAGTTGGCTCGTCTTTTGAGGCAATAGTTAAAATGGCCGTTAACAAGAACGGTTCACTGATCGATATCTGGCCTACATCCTTGGCCTCCAAGATGCCCTTTGATGCCAATGGACAAAATGGGTGGTAGTTTTCGGCGTAACTAATCTCAGCATCAGAATTTGGCCTGTTCCAGAAGGCAACAACACAGATATTCTTACAGTCGAAGCAGCTGGAGTGTCATAGCTACCCCTAAAACATCGTTCACCAAAACCTCAGTCTCCGACAGCCGGGAATGATATCGAGAGTTTTGAGTGGGATCTACCCAGGTATTATCAACGGGGCTCGTACAACTTGCGGCATGGCCGTCATGTTGATCTGTGCAAGAGCATAAGCTATGTGGAGGCGTTCTGTGATTGACTGGAGCGGTTGAAGGGGCATCAGCCGCGGCGAGTTTGGCGAGAATTTGGAGAGCGTCGCACGGATTTTTAAGTTCGGCGTAGATAGGTTCTTCAGGATCATTCTCCTCTGTATCAGGTCTAGCACTCTCTCTGCTTCTATGCCAGCTATCAATCGATGCCGGATCCTTCGGTGAATTCGCCACTGCTGTTGGGGTATTGCTTGATTCCTTTGTACGTCTCATGCGAGAAAAGTTTCCACCACGCTTTGAGCCAGCCAATTTACACTCCTGGCCTGCGCGAAGACATTCAAAACACGGTGATTCTCCTCCTCCCTGGGGCGAGGTTCTGATCTGGAATCAGCACCGGAACTCGGCATTCGACTTTGAATGAGAGAAAACACTCACGGATCACACTTGAGCTTTCGTTGGCGGCATCGTTCACATGCACGATATAGGCGCAAGTTCCTACTTCGAGTCATGATAAAAAGAAGCACAGAATGGGAGAGAGCTGGTTATTACCTGGCATGAAAGAAAGAAGAATGAGAATAATCGCCGACTTACCTCGTTCTCTAAATGCCGTTCCAGTTACCTGCCTATACCTTAGTGCAAACTACCCCACGCAGATCAGTCGCTGTCGTCGGCAATAGACGGACTCGGGTATGAAAACGCGGGGTTGGGTGGCGGCGGCTGCTGTAGCATCTATAGCCCCTTTTTTTATCCGACAACCATATTTGTACACACGCGAGTCACAAAGCACAGCCGTGGATTGATCCCAAATTGTACTTGTATCAGTCTCCATTTCTGGTTTATTTGAACACATGCATGACTTGTGCATTGCAATAATGCAGAATACCAGTCGAGCCCCATTCGCCACCGATCCCACTCTCTTTCTGACCAGAAAACAGCGCACGGGAGGTCGTCTTCGCAGATGAGTTGATGAAAACATTTCCAGCCTCGATCTGACGGCCAATATCCTCTGCATGAGCTCTATCAGAACCCCAAACAGAAGCGCCAAGACCAGTGTTCGAGTTATTCGCACGCGCAATCACGTCGGCTTCATCATTCCATTTCAGGAGGGGCACAATCGGGCCTAAGTAGGTCGAAGTGTGTTAGCAATAGCTCCTATCACTTCCGATAAGAATTCCGCCGTCCTATATCTTACCGAATTGTTCTTCAACCACGATCTTCGAGTCCTCGGGAGGATTGTCAATAATACTGGGATGTATAAAATATCCACTACCCGTCGTCGCAGAGTCCGGACCGAGTGCGAATCGATGTCCCTGGGTTTTGCTTTCGTCTACGAAACCCCGAACACGGTCATATTGCATCTTGTTCTGAAGTGGCCCAAGTACACTATCGCTGTCGAATGGTTTGCCCACCTTCATTTTGCTAGTTGCCTCCACCATCGCCTTGAGGAAGGGTTCGTAGATAGCCTCGTGGACATAGACTCTCTTTGTTGCGACACAGATTTGGCCGGAGAAGGCAAAACAACCGGCGGCCACTTCTGGAGCGACTTTTGCAATATCAACGTCCGGGAGAACGATTGCCGGGTCATTACCGCCTCTAATTGACGATGAAGTCCATTAGCTACATCCAGTTTCTGCCAATTTATCTAACGAAAGTAGGAGGGGTACATACAGTTCCAGTGTCACTCGTTTCAAGTTTCCCGCAGCTAAGGCCATAATCTTCTTTCCAGTGGCAATGGAGCCTGTGAATGCGATTTTATGGATCCTAGGATGGCTCACCAATGCAGGGCCTAGAGAATCACTGCCGCCAAGGGCTTGAATAACTCCGGGGGGAAAGATGTACTGGGCCAATTCAATGATTTTCAGGGCCGTGTATGGCGTAAACGGGGACGGCTTAACAATGATGCAGCATCCTGATAGCAGAGCTGGCAGGACTTTCCCAACAGACAGGACCATAGGAAAGTTCCATGGACAGATCGCTGCAACCACACCCACAGGGACGTACCGAGTGGTGATTGTTCGCTCCTCGTCTTCTAGAATTTCCTCGGGAAGCTGGAGCTGAAGGTGATGATCGAAAAGCGCGAGGATCTCCAGCACCTCCCCTTTAGCCAATGCGTGCGGCTTTCCGGTCTCCGTCATGAGAAGTTTGATAAACTGCTCGAGATAAAAGATGTAGGAATCCCTGAACTTCGCTATCAGTTCTTTCCGCGTCTCCACTGGCGTTCGTGACCATGAAGGAAAGGCATCATTTGCGGCAGTAACAGCACTTTCGATATCTTCATTAGTGGCTACTGGAACTTCCCACAGTTGGCCTTCGCTGGAGGAATCGATAGCGTGCGTGGCGGTAGCGGAGCTCTGTTTCTTCCCATTTATAATGTTAAAGAAAGAATCGAAGTCGATAGTGTGTGTTTTCGTCATGATTATTTGGCGCGTAGTCACCCACGAGACAAGCAATATTGCAGCGAGGTGAAAGTCGGAAATTTAAATACACAGTATATGTTTGCCAGGTAAGGAATAGCAGAGCTGACGAAAATTTGTTGAAGGTGCGAGACAAGTTATACTCTAATATTCAAAGTTGGAAGTAATAGTCGGAAGAGCCAAGCACCTGCGACGCCTAGATGATTTCTGCGTCTCTTACCATGTTTGCCGGAGTATCTCCAGATAAACGGCTATAGATGGGCGCAGGTGAGCATCGATGCCCGCAAATGACTATCAATAGCTCCGGGCGGTTATAGACGGTTAAAGGGCATCGAATTCCCAGCTGACTACTATTTTCCTGAATGAATCGTCTCTCGTTCAGATACGGCTATAGTAAATTCCTATTTACGAGTCCATAGGTCTTGACCTCGGCAGGCAGCTTTCACCCCGGGTTTGGTGTAAGACTCTTATATAGCCACAAGGAGCAACAGAGTTAAACATAAACCACACTCACTCACCTCTGGAACACCGACCTTATCAACTTAACATCTTCATCATCGCAATACCCTTCCTTCATAATGGCGACTTTCGATATCCCAAAGACCCACAAGGCGCTTGTATATGACAAGCCGGGGGAACTCTCTACCAAGGTTGTAGAGCTCGAGACCCCAGAACCGAAAGCGGGTGAAGTGCTGGTCAAAATGTTTGTAGCCAACATATCCAGTTTATACCTATGAGCCATACTTATTACGATCGCAGTACTCATTCTGGAGTATGCCATTCGGACTTGAGTTTAATGTTGAATTCGGTAAGAAATATCACTCTACCTAAAGCATTACATCATGCTAACATATGCTCCTTGATGGTTAGTGGAAATTCTTGCCTGAACCCGTTAAGGCTGGGCAGGTTGGTGGCCATGAGGGAGTCGGAGTTATCGTTAAACGGGGTCCTTCCTGCGAGCATGCCGAAGTCAACGTGGGGGACCGCGTAGGCATAAAATGGATTGCTTCCGCTTGTGGCAACTGTGCGCCCTGTATGGCTGGCGCAGATGGAATATGTGAGAAACAAGAGGTTTCCGGATACACCTGTCCCGGCACTTTTCAGGAATATGTTCTGGCTCCCGCTCACTATGTTACCCCCATCCCGGATGGACTTGCTAGTGATGCTGTGGCACCATTATTATGCGGTGGTGTTACGGCATACGCCGCTCTCAAGAAAACCCGTGCCCAGCCAGGAGACTGGGTTGTTGTTGCCGGGGCTGGCGGTGGCTTGGGGCATCTGGCATTGCAGTTTGGTAGCCGGGGAATGGGATTCAGGATGATAGCTTTAGATATGGGCTCCAAGGAAGCTCTGGCAAAGAGCTGTGGTGCGGAGGTATTCATTGACATATCCAAACACTCCTCCAATGACGGAGGACGCGGAATTACAGAGGAGATCCTGGCAGCGACTGGTGGCCGCGGAGCTTCAGCCGCTGTCATCTGCAGTGCCAGTAATGCGGCATATGCTCATGCGCTTGAAGGTTTGAAGTTTAATGGCACGTTGGTTTGTGTGGGTGTGCCGACTGGGGATTTGACTCCCATCGCCACTGCTTATCCACATCTGATGGTCTCGAAACAGCTGGCAATCGTTGGCAGCACCGTGGGTAATCGCAGAGACGCTATCGAAACGCTCGATATGGCAAAGCGAGGAGTTGTCGGGACCCATTTCCGGACTGAGAAGCTGGAAAATGTTAACAGCGTCTTTCAAGAGATGAAAGCCGGCACACTACAAGGCAGGGTAGTTGTTGACTTACAAAGCTGTCATTAAAATTTAAATAAAATTATTTTATAAGTGGAGCTTGATTCTCTGACCCCCTAGTCACGTTTATCTGTAATCAGTACTCCCGTAACTTGAGTGCATTGGCAAGTGCCTGCAAGTAAACTTGTTATCTTCCTCCTATTTAAATTTATTATACAGTTCCGGTATTCTGTTTCCTTTTTCTCTTCTCTCGACTGTCTTTTCTCCGCCAAAATCTTCGCCTTATTGTGCGGAGCAGTGCAGTAGTCATTCTGAAAATCTGAGTCGGCTTAGGTATTAGACTATATATTGAACTTAGCTTCCTAGATAGCACAAAATGGAGAGCTCTTCCGCATTTATAAGTGCAGTGACACAGTTATTTGTATTTATTTCTGTGATTAGACGGTAACCGCACCTGCTTGATAGTTCACAACACAACTCAAAATGGACAAGTGTTCTCTGCAACAAATGTGCATTTTGTATTTTCAACCAACAGTCACGCTTATGAAGAACTATATTTGATCGAGGTATATTTTGAAAACATAATTAATTAATGAGAGGAATATCTGCGTCAATTGTATTACTAGTACACATGTCTGACCTAGTTGCATATATATCCAACAAACACTATTGCTTATGGCAAGCCTTGCCTCACATCCGTATGCTCATTCAGTCCCCATGCTTGGGAGCTTGAGTCATGCACGGTGCATCTCCTCATATCCCGCTTGTATTTGCGAAGGAAAGGCCCTCCAACTGCTCGGTGCATGGTACATGTGTTATCCCAAATCACTAAATCGCCTGGGCCGTTCCACTCGATTTCGACTACATATTTCTTTTGAGACGCATGTTGGAAGAGGTCATCAATTAGCTTTTGTGACTTTTGTGGCTCTAGGTCTTCAATGTGATGTATATGTGCTGCAGTGTAGAGATTCATGCGGCCAGAAGCTTCATGGCGCTGAACCAGTTTGTGTCGGCCCATAGGATAATCTGAAGGGTTGACGTCCGCAAAGAATTCGGGGGCGGCTAATTTTCGAGAATGGTGCATCGAATGGTCGGCAATATAGTCTTTGTTCAAGAGCTCCTCCTTAAGATCACTGGGCAGGTCGTCAAACGCGGTCCGGGTGTCCGCAAATGCGGTATGTCCCCCCATTCCTTGGGGAGGTAACTCATGTGCTAGCAGTAATGAATATCCAGCGCGGCGGGGGTTGAAACTTGAATCCACATGAAATAGCTCATTGCCCTATGGTTGGAGATGGAAATTTAGCAATTGGATGTTCCTAGTAGCTTATTTAGCTTACCTTATTTGATTGCCCACGCGGAGTATCTGGATCTAGAATGGAGCCGTCGGCCGCCACGTTGCTCACATCAAAGAGCTCGTCAAATTCAAGTCGATGTTTACGACCCGCAGCAATGTATGGCTTCACGTCGTCTAGTTCCCCAAATTGCCTGGCAAATGCGACATGACGTTCATCTGTAAGGGAGGTGCTGCGAAAGACGATGACACCATACTGATATTTGTTATTGTCAGTCAGTGTTTCTTCCTATTACATCCCATCGGAGAACGAAACGACCCAATGTTCAAGGGGGTGGGAGGTAATCAGAAAAGAGCACAAGCAAAGCATACCTTAGTGATGGCAGCGAGGATTTCCGCGAATACCTCCTCTGTCAAAGGAGCTGAGAAGTCAACACCAGAGATCTCAGCACCAAATGTGGGGTGGAGCTCCTTGACTGTAATATGGTTGAAAGTGGAACCATTTGGCGAAGTAGCGTGCATTTTGAATATGTGTCAATTCCCAAGTGGGGTACTATGTGTGGAGCGCTTGGTGAGAAATATGTAGTAAAAACAAAGTGTCAAATATCTTGAAGTGAAAGCAGTAACAATCGTCGGTTATATATAAGGTATTTGTATATGATTGTTGAAACCCAAAGAATGAATCGAACTTAACTTCTTACAGAATTAATCAGGGATCTGATCAATGGCGTCCGTCTGTACCCAGTCGTTTGCACCAATAGATGTAAGTGAACAATGTTGTGCTTAGAATCAGTGCTTCTTGATCCAAAATGCCTACAGCCGTCTAAAGCCGTCTATTGCCTATCGTAAGTAATGATCTGTTACACTGGCCGGTTAATTTTCCCAATTGACTAATCGGACAACCTATGGGTCAAGACCTCCCACTCCGGGGGGCCCTGAAGTCAGGAGATACCATAAGTCCCAAGTGCGGGTTGTCCCTGTTAGAACCAGTCTACGGGGCATTTCCCATCCGCCGAGTGGGGATAGCATAACTAAGGTACCCGTGCCGCATATCTTGTGTTGGTGCTGTCCAACTTAAAGCCGTCGATCCGATCGTGAAGCATCTTAAACTGCGGCTAGTATTGGTGGAACACAAAGTTTGAACCTGGTAGCCCTCATAGGTGAGGCGGAGGAATGACATCATGGGCTTCTTTTTGCATGCCTCTTTCCGGCTCTGTTCGACATACAGATTAGCTGTAGGCCCGTGGTTCGGTGATTCGAGCCTTGCCAATTTGAAGTCCAATGTACAGAATTTGCCTTTCTTCATAATGCCATTGATGGCCAGTTCAGTTAGGGCGGCATCTTGTTGGAGTAATGGATGTGATTTTTTGGGGGGTGCTGACGAAGGGTGCCATGCCCCTCGGGAGTAAGCCTCTTCTCCTCCTGCTCTCGCCCGCTAGGTTTGCTCTGATTGTGATATCTTGCGAGAGTAGTTACGGAGCTATGCGAGTTGTCAACTGCAGCCCATTAGGGATGACTTCATGACTTGAGTCTAGGAGGGTCCGAGAGGCACGATAGATGATTCAAGGAGAGAAGAAGGCCGACAATCGAGAAGGCAGAGGATTGATCAGCAGACTTTGCGATATAAGACATGCTCTACTTAGAGGAAGTACAATTTCCGAAGTACTATGTTCATCTTGGTCGCTCAACAGAGTGTTTATAGTGGTTGAACTGTTATGCGCACAAGAGGAAGCTATCCCAGTCCACTGGCGGGGGCTAATAACACACCCATAATTTATACTCACACCCACCCGTTCCCGCTGCAGATAGCTGTAGCCTTCTTGTCGAGGCTAACGCGACCGAATCCCATCTTCAATTCTTGAAATTTCCCTCCACAACACCAAAGTTTGATTATCTACTCAATCTAGCAATCCTAAATTCCCACTTGCGTGCGTCATTATGTCTGGTGCTGGCCTCTCATACGGACTTAATATCACAAAGAAAAAGCCTGGAGATAGACCCCAACCCGCAAAGCGGAAACCCATATTCGACGAAGACGACGATTCAGATGGCGATGGCAAGGAGACGGAAGTTGCAGTGGAAGAGATTGGAGAGATTGGAGGATTATCTGGCGATTCAAAATCTTCAGCCCCCTCCCGCGGCAATGGTTTCTCCTCCACGAAGCAAAAGCCGAACGGTGGCAACTCAAAGAAGGCGCCTATTAGAATGTACGGCGATCTATCGGCCTCCTTCACATCCAAAAAGCATGCAGAGACGGCGGAGGAACTAGATGCGAGTATTTACGATTACGATGCCGTTTACGACTCCCTCAAACCCCAGAAAAAGGTCACCCAGGAGGATATCGAGCGCAAACCAAAATACATGAGCAATCTTCTTGCCGCAGCAGCAGTTCGAAAGCGTGATGCTACAATTGCCGAAGAGAAGAAATTGGCTAGGGAGAGAGAAGCTGAGGGCGATGAATATGCAGATAAGGAGAAGTTCGTCACGTCGGCGTATAAGAAGCAACAAGAGGAAAACCGGCGGCTTGAGCAGGAAGAACGGCTTCGAGAAGAGCAGGAGCGGAAACAAAACAAGGGAACGGGGATGACGAGCTTTTACAAGAATATGCTAGAGAAAGGAGAGCAAAAGCATGCTGAAATTGTGAAAGCTGCCGAGGAGCAAGCTAAGAAGGGGATTGTGGACGAAGAAGGGTCGCCGAAAGAAAAGAGCGAGGCGGAAATTGCCCGGGAGATCAACGAAAAGACTGGCGGCGCTATTGCTGTTAATGATGAGGGACAAGTAGTCGACAAACGACAACTACTCACGGGGGGTCTAAATATAATACCAACAAAGAAAAGCACCGCTCCAGCAAACGCTTCTCGTGGAGGCCCATCAATGTCGGATCGAAGTAGAGGATCGGGATTTGTTGGGGCTGGAGGTGGCAAGCAAGCAATGCGGGAGCGTCAAACGCGTATGATGGAAGCCCAGCTTGAACAAGCTACCAAGCGGGCTTTGGAGCAAGACGAAGAAGACAGGGAGAAGATTGAACGCGCATCGAAGAGCAGAAAGACTGAAGGGGATATCATGAGTGCTAAGGAGAGATACCTTGCTCGAAAGAAGGAGGCTGAGGAAGCGAAGAAGAGGGGCGAAGTGCCCTGATAGCAGCGACAAACCTTGGAGTGTAATATTTACAACTAGGCCAGAGAGAGAAACTCAAGGCGGAAGCCATTGCTTTTCCGTATGAAGTTAAATGGAAGAGGCTGGAGATAGATCCGCTAAGACGTGGCTATTACAGTGCCTCTGGGGATGAAAATCGCCCCCTCTCAGTAAGATCTTGTTCGTCACTAGGGGAATCTGTACTCGCCCAATTCTGGAACGCAACAATCTGCATGGTCTTAGCCCTAGCTAGGGATATAAAGCCATTATGAGGACCTCAGTGGCGAGGGGTCGGACAGCTAACAGGGCTGCGAGATTGACCTAATTGTGGCACTGATACCGCTGATGTTAGAAACATCAAGACCGGAGAAAATCAGCAGCCTGTGTCATTTACGGGCTGTCAGGTTTATATGCCATTATCAACCAATTTATCTATCACCCGTGCCTCTCTAAACCCGCTTTCTAGTCTCACAGTTGCAGCGTCCTTCCTCACCCAATATACCCAATCATCAAAACATCACATTTTGAACAAGCTAAAGCTATAGCCCTTACTATATGTAGGATCTTTGCAATGGTAGAGGTTTAACCAAGGATCCCTTCAGGGAGCTTGAATAAGGAGAATCAACCACACCAGTATAGCAGGTTGAAATACCCAGAGGAAGAATAAAAAGGGTGACGTTAACAAGCTGCGTTCTACTACACCCAAGCTGTGGGATAGGTGGCATTCCAGGAAACTACTGTTTATGAGTATGAATTATCTCCGTATAAGAGCCGTAATTCATTCTAGGGCATCCATCAGAAGTAGTGATTTATGCTGACCTTGCATGCTATCCGTACATGACAAGCCACCAGCACTTTATACACAATAATACACACATCTCTTTCGTTCCATAATCATACAATGCTCTTCAAGCGATCCCACCCTCTCTAATGCCCCCTTAACCCGCTCTAGCCCACTCACAAAATTTTCAGGGCTTAGAACATACCCCCACCGCCAGCACTCTTCCCACTCTCCTGCTGTATCCTTGCAATATATTGCCTGGACACCGAATTCCAGGTAGCCATGTATTTCTCCATGCACTGCGTGAAGCATGTCGTCTCGCCGCTCGACATCGACGGTCCGGGTTTAGGGATGCATTTCTCGAAGCAATGCTCATTGACTTTCTAACTTGGGGGTTAGTGCTGTTGATATGGATAACAGGAGGCAGTATAAGGAGAGGCACGAGGATATAAGTTACCTCGATCAATTGCCGGGCATTGTTCATGGCGGCCTCTTGTCGAACTTGGCTCATGACTGCGGATTTGGGATCTGAGGATGACGAGCCGAAGCCCATGCTGTTTGAGCCGCCGTCCATTTTGCAAGGGGTATGGTGGTATCGCAAAAGCTCTAGTAGTTCTATTATTCGGCTGTTCGATTGGAGATCGAGGTTGTACTGTGATTTGGGTTGTGATTTGTAGTCGTTCAGTAGAGCTGTAAGGGAGCTGTGATGAAGCTTCAAATCTCGGTCGATAGGTGAATCCAAACTTTTGGACAAGGGCCTCAGGTACCCAGGTCGCGCCGTCCGCGACGTAACCAGAAGGATCCCAGCACCTGCCACCAGGCCCAGCCACAGTAGCGCGCTCAAACCCCGGATTAGCTGCTCGGTCCAGAAAGGCCAGCTATCGTGAACGCTGAATATATCCGTCGCGAGTTGTTTCTGCTGTACGGGGCGCATATTCTACGACAACCCTCACCCGTCCCGCTGCTTCGCCGTTCTTCTCTCCTTGCGCTAATTAATTGCCTTGAACGCGACCTTTGCGCGAATCCCCAGCTTTGCACACTCTGCGGATAGGGGCAAGGAAGCAGTGATCACAAGGAAATCACCATGTGGCATTCCATGTCGCTGTCGGCTGCCTTATGGCTGGCGGCATGTGTACAGACAGTTCTTGGTGGCCCTCACGACCAAACGACGACAAATGCGGACGGAATCAGGAGTATACCTGTATGTTATACTGGCGTTGAATATTGGGGGACCTTTTGGCTAATTCGGAGTACTGTAGTTGCGAACGCATTCCCTCCAACCGGTGCGTGGAAGCTCCCGAGGGAGAAGCTGGGTGGTTATAAGACTGAAGCTGACTTGAGATTGTGGATATAGCCGTATTTGGATTCGGATATGCAAAGTCGCTGGTTTGATTTTGCAGGAAATACGATTATCCGCGCAGACCAGTATGTCGAAGCTCCCCCAGCTATCGATACATGTTTTTCGAATACAAAATACTGATGGATATGCTGCAGGTACATAAGACTTACGTCTGACCGACCGTCACAAGCAGGATTAATCTTCTCGCGTGTGCCACTTACCGCAACGAATTGGGAAGTAAGTTATCTCCCTACCCGCTCCCCTTTCCCGCCACCGCCCCAAAACTTTGAGTTGAGCTGACATTATATCCATAGATTGAAGTAGAATTCAAAATACACGGCAAAAATGTCCTCAACGGCGACGGCTTTGCCATGTGGCTCACCAAACAACGCGCCACTAGAGGCGACGTCTTTGGCTCAGTAGACCGCTTCGAGGGCCTCGGAATCTTCTTCGACACCTACAAGAATAACCGTCCGGGCGTCGTGTTCCCCTACGTCATGGCTATGGTCGGCGATGGCAACAAACCCTACGATAAAGCAAACGACGGCAAGGATAACGAATTCCTGGGTTGTTCCGCGAGAGGGATCCGAAACGCAGACATCCCCACGAAGGCCCGCTTGACATATTTCCAAGACAAAATGCTCAAACTCGAGCTCCAGTACAAGGCCGAGGGACAGTGGGAAGAATGCTTCGAAACCGACGAGCCGCCTATGATCCCATCCGTAGCGTATCTGGGATTCAGCGCTGAGACGGGCGAGTTGAGTGATAATCATGATATCATTTCCGTGAACACCAAGAATCTGTATGATACCAAAACTAGGCCTGAGACTACTCGGGCCAAGGATAAGGATTCTCCAAAGGTGAATAAGGGAGAGCATAAGTCAAAGAAGGAACCGGGGACCGGGGGCGGGAGCTGGAGCTGGTTCTTCTTCAAGGTGGTGCTTTTCTTTGGATTTATTGCAGCTGCTTATGCTGGGTTTACTGCATGGAGAACCCAGCAGAGGAGAAGTCATAGGTTTTAAAATGGATTCACTAATATTTTTTTATCTATTTTGGGAATGACGGGAAGAATAGAAAGTCTGGTGGTCGGTGGGAGGAGGCAGGAGCATGATGACCCGGCGGTTGTGATGCCCCTGGGATAAGGGACAATGCGAGAGCATTTGCGGTGGAAGACTGAAGCAATATAGGGAGAGGGGAGCGGTTACGACAAAATGTTGCATAGTGCATTCGAGCGTGTATATCAAAACAAAAATAAAAAGTTCAAAATCCATAATTCCAAGGATCAAGAAAGCCGACACAGCTCGATCCAGATTATCAGTCAAGAAATTGCTTGGATTTCTAAAGGCAACGTATAAAGTCCGACTAATACTGCCATATATACCAATGCTGAAGCGTATACCAGTATGAGTGGTAACAAACCAGCCCATGTACGCTGAAGGTATAAACCCTATGAACGCCAACGCTAATCATTGATCCATTATTCATGCACCGTGACTTTTGAAATCTTTCCCCTTCCCGCTATCAACCTAGTTGGTTGGAACAGTCTATAATAGGCACCCTTTTGAACCTCCTACCACAACTGCCCTCGTACAAATTGCGTGCGGTGAACAACAGCGCTTTTACACCCTAGGCAGTGAGGGCAGCACTCATCCCCATGATTGACATGCCAATAAACGCAAACGCCGTACACAGCTTGTGATTATGGTTCAAACTCAAGCTCTCTGCGAACAACTGTATAGCGACACTCGTCATAATACCAGCGATAATTGCGAACATAGCTCCATAAATAGCTTCACCAGGCGTGTTGCCTGATTTCCCCGCGATCTTCAACCAAGCGGCGGCAATGCCAGCACCCAGAGGTTGGCTCACACCTCCCAATAGCGAGGCCCAGAGCATCGCGCGCACACGAGAGTTGAGTGCAAGAAAAAGTGGGAGAGCCAAAGCGAAGCCCTCAGTGATATTGTGAATTAGGAGAGCAATGAAGACGGACCATCCTAATGTAGGACTGGCATGGTTCGTTGCGTAAGTAATGAAACCCTCTGGAAGTTTGTGCAGAGCGATAGCAATGGATGTTTGGAGACCGATGTTCATAAAAGAGTTTTCGGGAACATGGTGATGGTGCTGTGCTTCCGGATCTTCGGTGCCGCTGATCTGGCTCTCAGTTTCCCAGCTTTCCTCTATTGGCTCGGCCATAGGGCGAGCAGCCAGATTTGGGGAGGTTATGACCCCAGCACGCCCACTTGGAGAACGGCGACCTGCTTCCTCCGGCGTTAAAGACGCATGTGCTGTACGAAGGGAGTTTGCACGAGGAGGGTTATATGACATCTTTGCAGCAAGATTCTTAAAGCACTCTCGGCCACATGGATCTGAGTATCCATAGCAGGGGCCTGACGAATCACAGTTCGCCTTCGTATCTTTAACGAAAGACATCAGGCGTCGCTGGACGCCAATTACTGAAGGCCTTCGGGAAGGGGTTTCGCCATCCCCTCCGGTGCTAGTTGGACCATCGGTGGCCACAAAAGCCGTGTCAGGTTGTGGCAAGACCCTCCCATTTAAGTCCTGGTCTGATTCAAGGAGCGGCGTTGATTCCACAGGCTGACCGTTTGCCAACCCTGGCTCTTTCGCAAGAGGTAAATAGTGGTGGTCCGCTCCATGGCTGCCATGTGAATGGGGTCTGGTGTGGTTATGGGTGAAATGATGAGATGTCTCTCCATGGTGGTGATCGCAATCTACGACATGCGAAGGAATGTATCGGTGGAGGAACCTTGAGACCATCTGTATTCCAACAAAGCCGCCCATAAAGCCAGCAAGCAGTATCCATGCCGCAGCTGATGGTGCGAAGCCGCCGTTTATAAGGTATTTCATCGAAGATGGAAGGATTGAGTAAAGTGCGGAGAATAGCTGTGTTAATTAGCATTGGCACAAAATGTAAGACCACAAGCCTACCATCACTCCGAAACTCAAGCTCAAGGAGGCTGCCAGAAAGGCATTGCTGTCTTGTATCCTAAACTTGCTCTTCCCGGGAAGATAGCGAATGATGAAATCGACACAAATAATACTTGCTCCAGCAACGCAAGCTAAAGGGTCGCGGTTAGCAACAAAATCTCATATATGTTTAGCAGTCGACTCACCTATGCCACTGACTATGCACATAATCCAGCCTCGCAGATCGCCGTCCATAGCGGCGGCTATCCTGGCATCCATCACCATAGGGTTATCAATCGGTCGTCAATGTGGCGCTCGCGTCGAGGGAATACGTAGGCCGCATAAGGGTGGGGTTTGAGTTCCTTTGCACGATTGTTATCCTGCAACCTGCGACATCGTATTTATATGATGTTATTAAAAAAATTGCTGGATGATTGGCGAGACCGGGAAAGAGATAGGTGAATGCTAGGTGGATGTGGTTCGGAGCTGTGAGGGATTCAACACAGCTTCCAATGCCATCAAGGTGTTTTCAAAGCCAAATGACCAATCGCAAATGTACTATATCACGTGCTGATATTAGTCATGCCACTTCAACCCCCACTACAGAATACCTCGCGAACCCGAACGACATTTCATTTTACTTTGTTTCGGCAACTATTAAACATCGTACCAGCCTCTAGCACACTTAAGTAAGTCATTTATTGATGCTTGGAAAAGCAAGAATGCGGTGCCCTGATCTAACATATCCTGGAATGTTCTGGCCTCCGACGGCTTATGTTCTCAGCAACTAACTCTGCAGCGGTCCTCGAATGCAGCGTTCTAGCAACGGCTGTACCAACAATCTCCTCAATACCAACCTATGTGCTTCTGAAACTCCGTCACAGCCTTCTCGAAACCCTGATATGCATGCTCTTCTTCCCGTCTCGCTATGTCAACTCGAGCTTTAGCCTCCTGGTACCTCCTGGTACCTAGTGGTAATGTGGTTCAAGTTACTTCGTACGTGTGGTTGTTACCCCTATATAGAGGAGATCTCCGAACGATATTCTCTGTCCTTCCCCACTGTTGACATATTGCTGTCCTTCCTCAAGCACTTCTTGCACTATAACTTTCCTTCTGTGCTGCCTCCGAGCCTGAAGGTCGTTGATTGTCAGCTCCAACCCCTTTTTGACATTCTCTTATCGAGCATCATCATGGTCTCCTCTAATTGATGGGCTCTCTGTGTTATTGAGGAAGGGTGTGAGTCTTTTCCGCAAGAATCGATGGTTTAAGTCCTACCACTCAACTCCAGGCTATTCCATTTCAAACCTCTCGCTTTGTGGTCAATCCCTCCCGGCAATGTTTGGGAACCAGTGTCTCCAATTCTGTGGGACAGCTCTGGGCTTGCTTTAGATGGGCTTGGTATTTCCGAGCTTGGGAATATAGATTCCTGCGCTGAGGAACTTGGTTGAAAAGACATCGATAAGCTATGGGATTATCGTTTGGATAACTCTCGTTGTTAGATATATTGGTTAAGGTTATCACTGAGGAGAGTATATGCCCCTTTTCAGGATAGCCTGCCGGAAGTCTAGTGTCATAGTTAGCCGCAGCTCGTCATTCCTGCTATAATCTGTGGACTTACCGCTGGTCCCTCTGAGAATACTTGAGCATCTCTTCAATTATTAGTATATTATAAAGCTGTTGATTAGATATACACTATATCATTCGCCATATTTTAAGTAGATAAAAGCGGACGCTGCCAAAATTCTGGTACAATTTCGATATGCCCAAATCTCGTTTTAGGCTTGCAGATTTGCACGTCTGAAGTTGTTGTTAAAACTGTATTTTCTCCCTGCTACTTTAATTATCGCAGTTGGCCAGATGGACCAAGTCCGAAAGACGCCTATTGTGTGTGGCTAATATCGTTAGTGATCCGCATGGAAACACTTCGTCGGGCTCAAAGGCTCAATGTTTTCTAAGCAATAGCTTCCTTCTTTCCCGTAATTTCAAGTAACAATGTCCTCTTGTTATAAGTATGGTTTTAGCTTTGTGCTCGCGTTCTTGTAATATTAATATTAGAGCGCACCACGCTGTTAAGCCACGGTTCAGGCTATTATGTCTACCTAAAAATTAGAATATGTTTTGCGAAATTCTCTAGGGCACTGCTCTTTTGCAGAGACTAGAGATTTATACCATTATTTACTGCTGATACCAACACCAAATTTCCAGCCTGAACTTGTCGACTGGCTCGGGGCGCCGCCAACAAGTTATAATACCCCCTTTTCTAAAATTATTCTTTTATTTTGTTTTAAGTACTCCTAGGACCTTGCTCTAGCCTAATATCCGCTATCTACAACCTGGACGACCCTTCTTCTTCTAACAATGCGTCTGTCTAGCTCTCCTCGAGGGAATTTTCAGGATTTAAGTCTATCAGTTCTGTCAGTACTACCATAGTAGACAACCATACTGCGGGAATTCTTCTTTAACAATTGCTAAAAGTTCATCTTTGCCAAAGCTTGCAGTTGCTCTCAAGTGAACTTCGAAAAGCTACGCGAATATCAGGATGCCAATGGCGAAGCGAATGGGAAAGGGGGGGGTGATCACGTGATATATGTACAAAATCCTCGAGTTGTGCAGTGAGCCTCGCACCACCATTAAGGCGGGATTTTGTGTTCTCCCCCCTTTAGGTGCGACATGTATATCAAACTCATTACATTGGGGGTTGTTGTTATTGATAAAATACGGATAAGTTAAGGTTAGTATGAATCGGACAGCTATTTACAAATATATTAAGATGCAATCAGCAACCATATTCAGGCAGCTCAAATGACGCTACAGTCATCCATCAACATAAGTATCTGTCTTCTGCTCGCCCTGTCCTCATCGTTGCCCTTCTTATATCCCATTTCAACCTCGTCATCGGAAGGCTAAACATTTGGCGATTGGAAGTGTTCCACACCGAAACCCGTTTCCCCTGTGACTCAGTGCCTTATCCATTTGCCCCTAATCCATATTCTGGTCATGTTCTTCAACTTGCAGTCATAACAGTCATGGTGTAGACAAACCGCAGCTTCCCCCCCTCAAGGCGGAGCTCATGGCTGTCGGGTGCATCCCGCATGGTTCCAAAGGTGCAAAGCACATCTACAGAACCAACCGTCTCGTCTATAACGTAGCGCCGGTCCGTATTCGGTGGCTGGGTACCACCTGGGATTCCAACGTTGCACGAGTCCGTTGGCAGGCCCTTACCAGTGTAAGAACTACCCTCCAGGCGCCTACAAGGCGTTCCCCAAGGAACCGGTGCGTCCGGATTGCCCCAAAGGTCGAGATATGCGTCTCCTACTGCCTGGAGTGTTTCCCGGCTATCGCGCTTTTCCTGTGGGATCGTGGCCCAGCTCTCCTGTAGCACATATTGCAAAGTTTGTGTTGCGTTAAATAGCCAGTCGCCGGTGCCTGAGGCTATAGTATCTACCAGAACGACTTTCAAGATGCCATCGGCGGTGGAGTTGTGATGTATTTGGGTACCAATTACGTACGGTTTTGTTGAGTCCGTTATGATCAGTTCCGTGTAAGTTGCGCAGGCTGTTGTGTCGAGTATAGTTCGGTTATGGTCAATCTTCATTGACTGGCTCAGTAGACCGCTTTTAATATCCTTTGCCCTGTTATTCTCTTGCTAGGTGACACTGTCAGCGAAAACTTGTTGTAGCTGCCCGGTGCTCTGTGAATCCAGATAACGATCTGCTGACTCTTGGAGGGCCTCCCGGGTACATTCCGTCAGAGCCGCCGGGGCAAGAGTCCCGAGGATGGTTATGCACACGGTCAGAATAGAACGAGCCATCGTATGCGTTGATGATAACTCAAGGAAGAGAAGGTATAAGGGCAATATGAAGCAACCTTAGTGATTGTTCTTAAGCCCTTCAAGGAATCCACCGAAACTAGAGACACTAAATAGTCCCGTTCGTCGTGGTATTGACGAATTGAGCCATCTGCCGTCGTCATATATATATTGCGAGGGGCCCACTCCTCGGCATTAGCAAACATATGCACCCCGCACTGAATATTTAAATGCACTTTATTATTATACCCAGGACATAACCCTAAGGGCAGCTAAAAAGGACGTGAAGCTGATGACCACGGCCCGACCACTCTCCTCCAGGCTAGAGCCACTGGACCAGTTACTATCCTTCGACTTCAATCCAAGACTCTATCGCCCCTATTTTTCCAATACACTCCTTGGGAATATTTGCTCCTTCGGTAGGTAGGGTAATAGGAAGTATACTAGGCTAATTGATAAACGAGACTTTCTTAATCCTTTCTTTGGACAGCCTCAACCCCTCCTTAAAGCCTCGTCGCTACCATTGACATTAACTTGGTTTGGAACGTTGTGCATACAATAGCTGTTTTACATAGCTGGCTAGGGAAGCTAGCGATATTGGTTCGATCGGATCAAGTTGGGGAGAGCGATTGATTCGGTCAGGTATAGGGGGTGGACCGGGCGGTGCCTCCTAATATACAAGTGCCAAGGTTTAACCGAGATCGGGCTATAGGGGCTGTTCACTACGGTCATATTAAGAGGTAAAAGTAACCTAGCAATGCGATAGGGGTTGCAATCCATTCGTATGAATACAAATGCCTCTTACTTCAATTTATAGAAATGAGATGCTTCGTTTCTTGAAACTATCGGCTAAGAAGGGCTACTAATAAATGAATTCAAACAATTTAGCAACTTCCTGAAGATGCTCGAAACACATAGGGCGACCAGCAACCCAGATCTTCAAAACGTCTGCCACGAAACTGCTAGACGATTTCTCTGCTGCTGAGGCCAAAATATCTCAAAAGCTCAGAACGGTGCTCAGATTGAGAAAAACGAATCAAGTGTGAAGAGCGAAGCAGGACGGAAAGATAAATGTCAGCCAATTTTCAATACAGCAAGTATACTGCTTAACCCCTCCCCATATTAAGCATCGCCGGCGGCCAACTTGAAATTAGTCGTCCTCCATCATTACCTCCAAGATCGCCCGTCCCTCTCGACAGTCATTATCGTCGAACGGCTTCAGCCCATGATTTAACAGGAAATTGCCAGAATGTCCGTAGTGCTTCTTAATCCAGCCGAGTTGCTTCTCAGTGAAGTTGTAGTCAGCCAGATGAGACATCGGGTCATCCTCAAGCTCGTCGAGGAAGCTGTTTGCATCATCGCTGTCGCCGTCGTCTTCGTCGTCCATTATTGCCTCCAAGATTGCCTTTCCTTCACGGCAGTCCTCCTCATCGAACGCCTTCAATCCGTAACACAACAGGAAATTGCCAGAATGCTTGTAATGTTCCTTGATCCAGTCCAATTGCTTGCCAGTAAAGTAGTAGTCGGCCAGATGAGACATCGGGTCCTCCTCAAGCTCGAGGAGAAGGCTATTCGCATCGTCGTCGTCGACGTCGTCCTGGCTCAACAGGTCAGGTAAGGATCCATCGTCCTCGGTGTTGCTGTCTAACGCGCCTTCGGTACCGGCAGAGCCCTCGGCTTCAGCAGCTATAAATGAGCGCACTATAGCTCTGCCCTCCTCGCGGTCTTCATCTTTGTAGATCGAGAGACTATGTTGTTGCAGGAAGTGATATTCGTCTTTGTAATGCTGCTTAAGCCATGCCTTCTCGGTAGCCGTGTACGGCTTATTAGCATGGTAACGAGCACCTGTTTTTCAATAGTTAGTACTAGACAACTTTAACTTAGTAGGTGTATTAAGGGAGAAGGACACGCGTTCAGAGGCGGGCCAATTAGCAATAATATGGTAGACTTGATCTGAATCTGCGTCTGCTTTTAGAAACAGCGAAGGGTTAGTCACGGGACCAACTGGACGCCCGCTAAGTTTGAGACAGAATAATCTCTTCTCCTTATCGAAACACGCAGCGGTACGGCCCATCTTGTCTTTGACTCCGTCCAAGGTAGAGATGCTATAAGTGTCCAAAAAGTCTCCCCGGCCGAGGATGTTACACACAGCAGTTGGTACATGAAGTACTTCGTTAATACGAATAGTACCATGTCTTTTGTCAGTCCGATTGGAGCGTAGCCTAACGGGGATTTCGACACTACCAATACCTATGACGGCCAGATCGCCGTTCATGAGGCGAGACGCAAACGGAGTGTATGAGGTGAACCACCCTCGGTCTTTTGCAATGGAGACGTCGGAATTGTTGGAGAAGACCCAGTCGGGGCACATTGGACTATGGGGGCTCATGGACATAGCCATGGCTTGGGTGTCATCTTATCGATGGGTTGTATTGTAGCTAGAAGAGAGGTTAATAAGACGCAAGTTCAGCTGGAGGTTGGGAGGTTTATCAAGGTCGGTCATCACGTGTTGCGTTTGCTGCACCTTCCTGCATATATCAGAATACGGATACGGATTAGTATTGCTAGATCAGTCTTGGTAACTACCTATGTACCTAGGTAGACTTTTTATACAACGGAGTACGAGTGGATTAGTGGCGAAAAGGAACAATTAGTCAAACTTTGTGCGACCGTTATGGCCAGCTTGCTAGCTTTGAGAAATGTCGAGCTTAATATTCGAAAACAGGCACTATGTTCTAACTTAAACGCACTGATTCCAAACGCGGGACCTCGTTCGTATATCTCGGAGAAAAGTACGCCCATGATCGGGGAGTTGATGGGGCAGGAAGACCGGAGTGTTGGGGTAATTCTGCATGAGCATAGATGAAGAAGAGTTTCGGCGGCCACGAGGCTGAAGCAAGTGCTATCGAGGGGCATACCATAGTGAGGAGTGGCGGAGGATGTTTTGACGTTGTGTGGCAGGAGAACATTCCTTGATTATACAGCGTTGATTGCTATTTTAATTGGGGAAGGAGGATTGGAAAAGGAAAGGTACTATTGAAGAGGCGACTATAAGGTGAATGGTAGCGACTAGGAACTGGAGGTGATAAAGTATAACATTACCTGCTATGTTCTCTCTCTTCTGGTTCGTATAAAATTATTAAGCTTGCAGTCCTTGTTCGGAGTCTAGGACTACACACTATTGAACCTCAAATACGCGAGCGAGAAACATCTTTGGGTATTCAAGCGACCGTGTTTATTCGTATAGCACTTATTTCAATCGAAGGTCTAGTACTAACAGCCGTAACGCTTACATGCCAGGGAGCTCCGTGATCCCTAAGGTAACGGGCAGTTAGGTTAGTCTCCGGTGCTTCCAGAGCTGGTTGGAATGAACTTACAGCCATTGATTTTCTCCTGGACCGTGTCTGGAACAGCACATTTGTTGGCATCAGCGAAGGACTGGGACTTGAGCTGGTTACAAGTGGCCCCGAAACAACTTGAGTCCATGGCCTTCTGGAGGGCATCACCCTTCCAGCCGAAGATATAATCACCATGCTGACCGTAGCCAGTGCTGAAAACAAACCTCAAGTCAGTGGGATGAAAAGGTAAAGGACTTGGGAACCGACGACTTACCTATCACCCATGCTCAGAACAAATGGCTGCGAACCATCTGCAGGCCATGTTGACTTGTCGTTAAAGGCAGTCGTGTCCCAAATAATCTCAAACATCAGTTGCGGAAGCTTGACCGGATGAGTGGATGGACAGGGACCGCTAGTCTCAAAGGTTCCCGATGCCGGATAGGAGACGTGGGTCTTATGATCTGGGCTGTCGAGATTCTTGCCATCCCAGCAACTAGGAGGAATCTGTGTTAGTTCTTCAGAGAGTTGGGATATCAGGGCACATTAAGCTTACGTGGGAAACCTAATGGTTGTACGGATGCCGCCAGGGCAAGCCTTCGCGGGCAAGGTGACAGAGTCAACAGTTTTGTCTGCGCAAGGGGCCTGATTATCTCCTCCAAAGTTCGGGGCGTTGTAGCACCGGAAGCAGATCGCATTCCATTTTGTAATGCCTCCGGGGGCCCTCTGATTGACGTCCCCAGCAAGCATACGGAAGCCCTAACACCAGCATAAGAGACATACCAGTGGTTAAGCAGGAACAGCAGGACCTACCGGCTTGAAAGCGGTGACCTTCGAGTTGTCGTATGCCGATGTGTAGTACACGGTCATACCGCCGACTTCGCCGTCGAGGAACCGATTAGGGATCTGAGGGACACGCTTATAACTTCCATTACGGGCTTTGAAATATAGATTCGCAGTCCAGTAGTTAGATAAATCTTCGCTGAAGCTACAGGTAGTGCAGTTTGCAATTTGAGAGACGTCGGACAGAGCAACGGATGAAGCGAAGGCATTCTATTGTATGTTAATCGATGGGAAAAGAAGTAGGGCCCCCCATACGTACTCCTCCAGTAACCTAAGGTAGAGAACGGTCAGTACGTAGTCAATTTTGAAGTGATGGATAGGTATCAGGATCTGTACCTGGTGAACATGGGGAGAGGGATTGACTCCTGGGTTGACGAGACTAGAGTCATTCAAGTCAGAATTTGTTGTGCTACATATACGTTCAAGGTTGCTCACGGGTCAAGACGCTCAACCACAACTTCCGAGCATCCAAACCGCAGCACGGCGGCGGCGTGAATGCCTTGCGCAAAGATGGCAGTGGCGACAAATGACTTTAACTGCATCTTGGATAAGTATATATTTTTGTCAGTAACACATGTACGGCAGAAGACTAAGATATCCAGAAATAGGAGACGGGAAGTTAGTAGGGAGTCGGTTACCCATTATAAAATATTGCTACTGCAGTAGAGCTGTCAGTAAAAACCTTAAAGCCGGTTTGGGAATCCAATGCGTCGTCACTGCCGAGATTCCGAGAGTTGAGTGCGCCGCGTAAATATATCTTAAATTAAGATGCGTTCATCTATTGCCGATCATCTCCAGGGAAGCATCATTGTTCGAAGCTGTGGGTGATAAACCCCAACCCTGCGTGTGATATAGTACATTCATAATTAGTTACTGAGTCTTGCGCCGGTGATGCCTTGACTTCCTCGCGAATTTGGTTATAGACCAAGTCACTTTTGAAGTCGTTATGAATAAGGTATAAGTTAAAACGTTTTCGAAATTCAACTTGCTGGATCCGCTCTTTAGTATGTACACTGTTCGGCACTTAAAAGTCGGGCAACGTGATAAATGAGATCTGCGCATGGTCAAGATAGGAGGCTTCTAAAAGAAAACGCGGGAGTGAGAAGCTTAATTGGCAGCTTGGCGTGGCCAGGTTGGTGTTCATAATAATAAGGTACATTGAGGGCAAACTTTGGCGGCGTCGAGCTTTAGCGATAGCAAGGTCGTGAGGTAGTGGTAGGTATGTATCATACCCAGGGGTATGGTATATCATGATCGGCTAAAAATAAGTCTGATCAGTTGTCACGCTGTATTTGTCATTTGGCACGAATACCTGAGCCTAAATTGACATTGGTAGTATCCGTTATATTGAATTAATTACCTGATAGCCAATGGCCGATACTTTCCCCAGTCGAATTTCCGCGTACAAGTGCCGGGCTAAAGCCGCCTATAAAAACGATTGGGAAGTCAGCTTCCAGGTTGGTAAGGTGGTAGCAATGGATTAACGGTAAGGGCTAAATTACCTAGGTACCTAGGTGCGTACGGCAGTTAAAACGCCGAAAATCCGGGGAAGTTCTCTAAAATTCAATCCAAAACGGTTCCCTTGTTCCTCCTAATGAAACATCAGCATCATATATTAATTGCCGATAAGACTCTACTATATTAACCCCACCATGATAATAACCTCATACATAGCGATATGAGATACGGTCCCGGTCCATTGGACTGGTGCCAGGATAACACAAGATAGATAGTAATACTAGAAAATCTGAAATCAAATCTGAGTCAACCATTCTGCGAAAAGAAATAAAGCGGAGGACAGCATAGACTAATAATTACTCAGATTCGCTCAGCTCCCTCAACTACAACTACAAGGTTTGTCCTCGCAAAGGTATCTTCGCTTGTCGGCCTAGTCGCCACATATAATAACCCCCCTAAGTGCTACTTCAGGCTTCCTCTTCCAAGCGTAGCACTCGCTAGACCTAGCGACAGTAGCCTTCTAGAGTTATCCCATTGGCTGCCGTCTCATATTTTGGATATCTGCAAGAGCAAGATCCATCTTGACCTACTTCTGCCCCGGTGTTGAAACAGACTCGGGAAATATTTGGGGCCAGCACACGTTTCTGTCCAAGTCTCCTTACTGTTTCTGAGTTTGGAGCTGTGTAGCCATTGGAAGATGTTTATGCGCTGTATCATTTGCCCAAGCCTCAGCCCCACTTGATTCATAACACCTTATTTTCACATGGTGGCAGTTTGCGATCAAGATATAAAGGCTACAACCCTCTCAAAAGCTACGGTAATACTAGAAACGGGATTACTACCATCACCGCTACAAAAAGAATGAGACCGCGCCGGAGCTAGTCGGCAAGATGGGAAGAAGTACAACTGAACTCGGATCCCAAAAACTACTAAGACCACGAAACAATAGCAATTCCCAACATCATCACAGGCCTCACTGAGCTTCTTGGCGAAGTAGTGGTAGTCTCTATTTTAAAACGTGTTCCAAGGGCTGCAACCTGCAGTCCTGGACTTCAAGCTGTTGGAGATAAAACACTCTCACTGGAGGTGCCGTTCTACTAGTTATAGTCATATTGAAGCGATTATTCAGATTCAAAGATCTGGATCGGCTGCTCCGTGGTGGCTTGCCTGTCTTATTCGTCCTCCACTCAGAAGACTCCCAGGATAAGAATATCGCCTTTCCATGAACTAGGTTGACGCGAAAGCCATGACAGAGCGCGCATCTCAAATCAATATATAGTTGAATCAATCCCTTTGGATTACGTACCACATGCGATGTATGTCTAAAAGCGAGCATTACCAGTAACTGGGTTCCCCGGTTTTGCCCCTTAAAAGTGCGACATACAACAAAAAGATCAGGTCGCCTTGGCAGCCTAATTTGCTCCCCCTTAAAAGTGCGATATGTGACAAACCCCTATTCTATACATAAGTTGCCCCTTAAAGGCGGCATATGCGGCATTGAAAATCTCAACACAAAGAAATACCACTCCAAAGATAGTCCCTGTCGATAATAAAAATAAAACGGACAGATAAATCTTGAAAATATCCACAGCGGGACATGAAAGGACACCCCACTGAGGGTAAAATTCAATAGTTTACAAGAGTGCCGAAGGGAGGGTGCACGGGTGCTGGACATATCGTAATAACCAATCACCAGGAGACCTGCGAGTTATCGTGGTCATTTATATCAGTAATGATATTTCTTTATCTGGGGAGCATCATAATGATCTACTCGTAGACCGTCACAAAATGCAGCCTGCGCTGCAGGGTCCCTCTATCTAAGAGCTGAAACAGGTATTCTGCAAGAGTAACCTTACTTATTTCCCGGATTCATCCACGCAAACGCACTTGCACCTCCGACCGGATTCTCCGATCTCGGAACCGTCGTAATACGCTTCTGCTCCTCGGAACTAATTCTCTTCTGTTCCCATTTCAACGGCACGTTTTCCGCCTGGCTTTTCCTCCGCATCTCGGCAGAGGCGCGTGGTGGTGGTGCAGGGTCGTAGGCGCTGCCTGTACGTGGTCCCGAGACCGAGCGAGGTGTTGTGCTGGCGGAGGGGGTGGGCTTGGAGGACGGCTTTAAGATCTTCATGCTCCTACCACCCCCTCTGGTCGCTCGCTGGTAACCGCTTGTAGATTCGATCTCGCGCCCATTTTCACCACCGTTGACTGAACCTTGACGCCAGGAGCCCCATATGCCAACAGAGGATTCTCGTCGAGTGGAATCTGAAGATGCTCTCGCGTTCGATGATTCGGGTTCTCCACTTTCTGTTGGCTGAGACTTCCCAGAGTCAGAATGGCTGCTTGCTGAGTTAGATACTACGCCTTTTGCATTAAAAGCTTGATCAGACGCGCTCGGTTCAGATGTCGGAATAGGGTTCAAGGGTGGTTGCAGCTCTGCTGTGGACGTTGAAGATAGAATTGGCCCATGTGGCTTGCCCTTGCTTAAATGCTCGATCCCATTTGTTGATGGCGCAGGCGGAGTATCGGTAGCCACCTCGACCTTGGCTTTCGAGTCAGTCGGGGTAAACGGAAGGGCGGTTGCTTTCAGTTCGTTTCTCTCAGGCGGAATATTGGCGGTAGACAGATTCTTGAATATGGTCTCATCCTCAGGTCTAACGAATGGCACGGAGAGCTTATTTCGGTCATCCCCGTACAACGTCATGAGATTCTGGGAGAATAAGATATCCGCATTATGGGCTCGGAGGATATCACTACCAAGGAAAACGCGAATGCCTTCCTTCCGATCCTGAGTACCACGCTGGGTTTGGCTGACAACGTCAAAGTCTGCGCTGAGGGTGGGAAGCTGGGGAGCTGGGCTGTTCGACCGTGACGTAGGATGGGTTATGATCGCCTCAGGGAGGTACACGGAGAGTCTGATAGTATGACGGCCGTTCGGGTTCTTCTGGATTTGGCCCGATAAACCAAGGTCTCTAAGCAAGCTGTAGTCGAGCATAGATCGCTGAGAGCCGGAACAGACATCAGCATACAGAAGCGCATTATGTGAGAAATTTGTCGTCAACCAGCATCTGATTATAGAAGGTACAGTTCCGAGTATGAATAGTCCAGGAGGCGGATCAGGTATATCCAGCGGGGAATCACCATCCTGGCCACCGATGATAAAATTAGTATCCAGCCCAAGGCTACTCGTTCGCCCGGACGGATTGGAATGCATAGAATGAACAGAGTGGCCCGCCGAGCTATGCCTGCCGTCAGATTTATGTGACAATGACCGCTCGGTCATAGGATGGCTTCCAATGCCGCTGCCGGGGCGCACAGGGCCGAAATCTCCCGAATTTCTGGATCCATGTGCCCAATTCGATCCCTGTATGGCACTGACATCAAACCGGACACTGTTGGCTCTTGATGCTCCACGTCTCACTGGTTCTTCCTCTGCTTCTAGGTGTAGGCTGCCAAGCAGATTCTGTCCCTGTTCATCATCAAAGTCATCAAAGACGTCAGCGGTGGGGTTCTGAACTGGGCCTGTACCATGGTACTATATCAGCAGGCTGATCATGTGGAATAGAGGCGGGGTTCACTAACCATGTTGTGGAGTGCCACTCAAGACGCTGGGGAACGGAGACCCATTGCCCCAAACGGATTTAAGAGCAGCATCATCTGCCTGGCGCTTCTCCAATCTTAACAACCGCTCAGCATGATTGATCTGTACAGCTTGGACATGCTTGACGTCCATCTGAACATGGTAGAAGTCTTCGGGGGTTGGACCAAATTGCGGATCCATGCCCTAGGTATTTGCGTACCAACCAAACAGAGTCTTTGACGACTGTGAATGGGTGGTGGTCGCAGTTACCAGGGTGTATGACAAAAAGCCAGTCCGAAGAGCACGTGGGTGCCACAAGACGCTTCTTTCAGCAGATCGGTATCTCTAGAACCAAGGCCAAGGGATGGAGCTGCCACCGGGGAATCTCCTTTCGCGGTTCGAGCACTATATCTCAGCGTCACCAGGCGACAGCCAGCTTCCATGAGATACTGATGCTATATCTTGAGTGTACCGCCTTTTGTAGACCGAAAGAATGACCGCTTCTAGCCCTGTAGCAGGCAACAGAGCAACCCCTTGGATGATGCTCTGCCTCTGCAGAGATCACGATGTCCACCTCCCCCACTGCATCGACCTGCGACCAACGGTCACTGTCTTGCGCGACAACCGGAAATGATTCGTGCTTGTATCCGAATTATGTGCCTTGGATAGTCTCGTGTGTGTCAAGTTTTAGGAAGGTAGGGAACTGGGGATGGACCGCGGAGGTGATGCTGGCGGATGCGTCAGGCTGTGCTTGGGTATAACACTGGATACAAGATTCGGATCTTAATCTTGAAGTGGTGTAGATGGGAGATCTTCGTAACAGTCGTGATAGACGGTCGACAGTCGGTAGGGAGAGCAGCACAGCACAGGGGGCTCTGAGAAGGGATATGTTACAACGTCAGTGTCGGAGAACAATCGTATTCGTCTTGCGTAGTAGTGGCTACTTAATAGCTGGCGCGGTGGGCTTGTGATAATGATTGCAGAGGCGGATGGGATTCTGTTCGAGGTGGAAGCGGAAGCGGAGGTGGCAGACAGTTATGAGGTGTTATGTTATGGTACAAGGGAAGCGCGAAGTACACAGTACAGAGTAGTAGCGCGTGAAGTTGAGTTGAGCCCGTGGGAAGCTGCATGGGCGAGGATGAGGTCGCGATGCGGTTAGAACCATGCAGTAAGTAGACGCCCGCCTAACCCCAGAGTTTGGATAGCAGGGATGGAGCCTGGAGGTGGTCTGTGACAACAAATTAGATATATATATACCTACCTACAAGTACTGTACAAATAGGTATATATGCGTATAATTATGGCACTGGAATCATATACTTTCTATCATATTATTCAATAAACCATTTCGTTATATTTAGTCGCTATTTCGCGGGGATCGGAATAAAGTACAGGTATAGCTCTTGTTTGCCAGTGCCCTATGCGGGGAGTGGGTGCCTGTGAGCAACAATTGGCTCTCGCAGTATATCGAACATGTTGAAGCAGTATAACAAGCGACTAACAAGCGACAAACAATCAACAGACGACAGATTTTTGATATGTTGGATATGTTTAATATTTGACAGGATGTTCGACATGCAACGAAACTACTAGGTACTGACTTGAGAGGGGATAGGGGACGAGCTTCGTTGCATTTCGAACAGGATGGAACAGCATAACATATGACAGATACTCAATAAACGGCAGGCTTTTGATATTTGAGAGGATATTCGACATGCAACGAAACCAATAGGAAGTAATTTCGTTGCATGTCGAACTGGGTGGGACAGCATAACAAACGACAGACATTCGATAAGCGACAGGCTTTTGATATTTGAGAGGATGTTCGACGTGCAACAAAGCCATGTCCTAGCTTCCTATATAGTGATAGGAAGTATTTTCGTTGCATGTCGAACTGGGTGGGACAGTATAACAGATGACAGACACTCGATAAACGACATATGTCTAATACATGGGATATATTTGATATTTGAGAGGATGTTCGACATGCAACAAAACTCTTTTTCCGATCCCCTTAATAGAAAGCTGTTTGTTGTATGTCCAGCACTTGAACTATGTTAATCTGAATTCATCTCGCATCGCCTCGCCTCGTCTCATCCCACTCCCACGCTCGGTACTAATGATGCTATTGAGCCAAAGCCGGTCCCTTCATAGGTCACAATAGAATGCCTTATTTGCGTGGTAGAGGTGCGACCTCCGAGTCCCAAGCGCTATAAATTGTGAGCCATCGAAGACGCTTCATATCCACGGAGGGCACCTACGGAAATATCCACGAGGCCTTGGCTGCGTCACCAGTCCAACCTTCCCCCATTAATGGCAGTAGCGTATCCAGGAGTACCTTGTATCCAGCAGGAGTGAGATGAAGTCCATCCGTTAAGAGCCTTCGAAAGCCTTGGCTATCCCCCCTCTCTCTCGAACCCAACAGACCACCACCTTCGACGTAGTCAGGGGTCAAAGCAATTGCCTCCTTCATGAGAGCGGCCCAAAGATCAACCAGGACAACTCGCTGGTCTTTGAATTCTTCAGCAAGGTCCCGTATGGCCGCGGCATACTGTGCGGTAACGCTTTGGTGCCTAGAAAGAACAGTGTTGCCGCCATCGCGGTCAAATTGTTCTAGTTGAACCTCGTTGATAGGCGGCGGAGTGACTAGAAATATCACTGGATTGTGACTCCTGACTAGAGGATAAGTGAGAATGCCTTTGATATTAGAGCGGTACTCCTCTAGTGGGACATGCTGATTCGCTGAGTTTTCCGGAAGGCGGGAGTCATTGGATCCAAGGAGAATGAGCTACAAGTGTCAGCGTGAAAATGCAACGCCTGAGACATTACGAAACACAACAAAAGCGGATAGTGGAAAACGCAGAGATACACAGGAGAGAAATGAGAGGTAGATGGGGAAATTTCCTGGAGATGGAGCTAGATTAAGCGTAATTCTTTAATAAACCGATGATTGCAGACATAAAAGCGCCGCCTAGTTGGCATCTTTTACTTACTAAATAGTCAACTTTGGCGCAAGATATCGATGGAAAAAGATGCTCTAGAATGGCCATAATATTGCTCGAATTGTATCCACTGAAGCCTCTGTTTTGTCGCTCGTTAGCAACAGTCTAAAGTTATTCAATTTCCAATGGCCAATGATCTAACCTGTTGATGACATCGAGCCGCCTTTCAACATGTTCCGTAAGCGCGCCACCGAAGCAGAACCCATCGCTCAATCTCCCCCCATGTTGAATGTGGGAGTCTCCGAGAAGGATGAACTGGCCATATACGGTTCTCTTGGTCTCCATGTTATGGGAGCGTAAGCAGGGTACTTCGTACTTCGTACCAGGGCGACTTCGAACAGGAGTGGCTCAAGGCTCAAGACTCAAGAACAGCAGTGAAGCCAAGACAAGGTATCTACTAGTAGATATTCAATGTAGGGTTAGAATGACGTCCTCAGCGGATTGCCAAGTTCCCAAAGCTTGCTGTTGAGTGACTGTGTAGCCTACGATGAAGAGCTTATCTTTCTAGGTATTTAGTACTTTTTCATCAGATTATGAGACAAATCAAAATGTACATGTACTGTACCTTTGGACCCCTAGAACCGAGGCTGGAACCCCAACTTTGAAGCGATATTATTGATAGTTTGCCCGAATCTTGGCCCGCTTGGGTTAGAGCGTACAAGTACATGCCCGGTCTAGTCCCCTTGAAGTTATGCATCCATCGTATCCGCATCGTGGGAGGCTGACTCCTCACCCAGGGAGGTACGAAGAGCCTACCGGTCAATAATAACAAGTAAACAAACACATGCTCGCAGAAGACACCCCCTTTAAAGTTTCCACAACATCCAGCAGCTCGCCCCTGACCGCATCTCCTCTCCACGCGGTGGTGAAGGATGACACTCCTGCGCAGAGACACTCGCACGCCCTCAAAGCCTCGTGATACGACGGTTCCCCGTAGCCTGGCTGGGCGTGCAGCCTTGGGGGTTCCACGAGGCCAAACACAGCGTAACTGGCGGTGCGTAGCACGGAGGGAGCCGATCTGCACCGCCAGCTACGAAGTACGAGCACCGATATACATATTGTACAAGCACCGTCTTGTCTCCATAGCAATATCACCACCGACGCTACAGTGCCACTGTACCGACGGCTACTTCGTGCTGTGTACTGCATTCCCCACAGTTATCCCCATGAATCCAAAGTAATAAACTGCTGCATTACGGCCTACTCCGATTACCTGTACGAGATCACGACCACGATTACGATCGCGATCACGCCCCATGCCTTCTTGTTGGCCCTGACCCCGAGCTTGCTTCTCTCCCACTCTCCCTCATGGCCCTGCTCCTCCTCCTCCTCCTCCAGTACACTCATTTTGGCTCCCTACATGATCCGAGTTGCGCGCCTCCCATTCCTCCATGTCGTCCTCCCGGAAGAAGCCCCCAGCAACAACATGGAGCGACCTCAGCATGACGCGAGCACATCCACCTGAATCGGCCGAATCTTCTAATCCATCCTCACCGACCCAGAGGTTCTCCCGCACACAAAGCAGTTTAAGTAACGATGAGAGGACACCGCTTCTCCCGAGTGCCGGCCGGTCTCGAATTCGGGTTCAGGATATGAACAACGCCAGCAGCAATAGCAATAGCAACAACCCTCCGAGTACGAAACCCCATCTCTCACGACATGCGAGCCACAGTGGTAAGCTTACCTAGTTTGCTCCCACCACATCATATAGTTCTCTCGACTGACCCTGCGCCCCTATAGGAAGTCTGCGAAGTGCGCGGCACCACAGTCGAGCAGGATCGTGGAGCCACCGACTAGTCGGGGCTCTCTCCAAAAATGACTCTATGGTGGAATCCAAGAGTGGCCTCAATGCAGACGACCGAGTGTGGTACGACCAGTTTACCTCGACCGACTGGGTGCATGACAGTATCGCCGATGCTTATCGAATAAAGGCGCTTCGTAGCAGGAAGGACATACGAGGTCGTATTAAGGCAGCTTTCGACGGAACGCAGGGCTGGATTCTAAGTGCGTTAGTAGGAATTCTTACGGCATGTATGGCCTATGCTGTGGATGTCTCAGAGGCACCGGTTTTCGACTGGAAAGACGGCTACTGCATGAGAGGTTTCTTCATTAGTGAGAGGGTAAGTCGTGGGTCTATTTTGCCCGGGGAATCCCCTCCCAGACGCGCGAACTTTTCTCTTACAGCGTGCCTGTTCAGCCATATTGGGGCTCGGCATGATCTTATCCGCTCGAAACTTTCCGTCGAGCATGCTCATACCTACGCCCTTCGCTCAGCTAGCACGCACATGTAGCGGATTTCATGACCGTCTACCCAGTGTGTAATATATGACTGACATAATTTCTAGCATTGCTGCCCTGGTGGAGGACCCTGCGAAGCCTGGAAATCCTGGTCAAACTACATCCAAATTTCCCATGTCCCGGAGTACATAGTTGAATTTGTCATTTATGTCATCTTGGTCGTGGCATTTTCAACACTGGCCTGCTTACTTACGCTTACGACTAAGACGGTTGTGCCATCGACATACCACCTTAGCACGCTTGATGAGAACCTTGCTGCGGAATCCATAAAACCAGGCCAGCAGCATGACGGAACGTCTAGCCCTAACTCAAATGAAGTAAAGTCAGAACCTATGATTTACTACTCAGCTGCGGGAAGTGGCGTCGCTGAAGTCCGTGTCATTCTGAGCGGCTTTGTTCTCCACGGATTTCTTGGCGTGAAGACCCTGGTGGTCAAGACTGCTGCGTTGATATTAAGTGTTGCCTCTGGCCTTAGCTTGGGCAAAGAAGGGCCCTTTGTCCATATTGCAACTTGCGTGGGCAACATTGCTTGCCGGTTATTCGCAAAGTATGACCGCAACGATGCTAAACGTAGAGAAGCCCTTTCAGCAGCTGCCGCAGCTGGCGTTGCTGTTGCCTTTGGAGCTCCGATAAGCGGAGTTCTCTTCTCTCTTGAAGAGGTTGCATATTTCTTCCCAGCGAAGACCCTATTCAGAACGTTCTTTTGCTGTATTACGGCAGCACTGTCGCTCAAATTTCTCAACCCTTACGGCACAAATAAGATTGTCATGTTCGAGGTCCGCTATTTGTCGGACTGGAAATTTTTCGAACTCGGCCTGTTCATTATAATCGGTATGCTTGGAGGAGCCTGCGGTGCTATCTTCATTAAAGCATCACGTTCTTGGGCAATATCCTTCCGGAAGATCCCAATAATTAAAAGATGGCCTCTTGTTGAGGTCATGTTGGTTGCCCTTTTGACCGGACTCGTCGGGTACTGGAATCCATACACGAAACTTTCGGTTGCAAAGTTGCTTTTTAACCTCGCTAGCCCTTGTGACATGCCGAAGGCAGACGCCATGGACCTTTGTCCAGGGACAATTGATGAGATATTCCCGGTCGTCAAAAGCCTAACTATCGCATTCTTCATTAAGGGAATTCTCACAATCATCACATTTGGTATTGTAAGTTAACCCTCTAGATCTCTTCCCTCTCCGATGACCTGTTTTCTTCGTCAAACAATTATTTTGGTCATGGACAGATTGTTAATATATGATATAGAAACTCCCAGCGGGAATTTATGTTCCGTCTATGGTTGTAGGTGGTCTCTTGGGACGGTTGGTTGGTCATTTGATGCAATGGGTTGTCCTCCGATTCCCGGATTCGGCTCTCTTTGGAGATTGTGCTGCACATGAAAGTGGCGCCTCCTGTATTACCCCAGGTGTATACGCCCTTATTGCGGCTGGTTCCACGATGTGCGGAGTAACACGATTGTCGATTACGCTCGCAGTCATTCTGTTTGAATTGACGGGGAGTCTGGATTTCATCCTGCCATTTTCTCTGGCAATTTTGGTGTCCAAATGGACGGCCGATTTCATGGAACCACTCAGTATCTATGTGAGTCGCCTAGGTCATTAACCGTTGGGTATAGTAGCTAACCGGACGCAGGATCTTCTAACAAACATGAACTCTTACCCATTCCTGAGCAACAAGCATAAGCCGATATTCACCTCGAATCTCGAGGATATTGTTCCTCGTGTGCGGCGCGAGAGGGTCATCGATATCTCGAACTCCCCGTTAGTAACTGCAAGCAGTCTCCGAGCTAAACTCGAGGTCGTGCTCAGAGCCGGGGAAGTCGATGGTGGCCTGCCTATCATCCGAGATGAGATTCTCGTGGGCCTGATCCCCGCACCTGATCTAGAATTCGCCCTAGATAATTTGGATGATGAACCTGGTACTCTCTGCCTAATGGCAAAAGTCCTATCACTTGATGACTCGGATGATGAAGCTGAAACTGATCCTACGGATTTCACGCCGCATATTGATCCTGTAAGTAGCCAACCTTCCTCTCCCACTCCCGTACACCCAATCTATCCAAGCCGATGGACGCTAATGTCCGAATTAGGCGCCGCTGGCACTCGATATCAATTCACCCATGGACCTTGTATACGAATGTTTTGTCAAATTAGGCTTGAGATATGTTTGTGTGACTAGAGAGGGACGGTTCGCCGGCTTGGTACGTAGACTCCCTTTCTTCCGTAACTGAGACTAACAAACATCTTCCAGACGCACAAGAAAACATTTGTAAAATACATCCGTGAATTGGAAGAGAAAGAGGGTCATATTCGACACTAGAGCGAACATTTGCATTTTTATTAAAGCATTTTTGGAGGTAATTTGTGGACTGCGTTCTCAGAATTGCAGTCTTAGTTTGGTGTTGGGAGTTTTGCATACGCATTGATATACTCATTTCGTACCCCCCACGGGGCATGTAGGATAGGATGCATAGCACCTAGGAAACGCAATGGTTTGCGTGGGATGGATAATTGTTTTTTCCCTGCCAACACATTTACACTGGGCGTTTCCAGTTAATTTTAGTTGGCTCTTGGTTAGAAGAGTAGTGGAAGCATACCGAGAATACGCTCGAGATGATGGAAGAGTTATCGTTTTTTTGGGTATTTTAGAACTGAGAAATTGGCCTTAATGTCCACTACGAGGTGGGAGAGTTGAAAATAATAGATGTCCGAACCACTACACACGACTGAATGAAGTGATCTAAAACTTATTATCGAGCTGTTAGTTCTTTTTAATCAAAATTCCATGTTCGCTGAATCGTTTACTTGAGATGGATGGAGGAGTCACCATAGTAGGTAGGACCTAATATATTTTAAATTAAAATATGGAAAAACTTGGCTTAGAACTCACTTACCCCTGACATAAGCAAAATAGCTTAACCGTAATACGAACCCAAACACTCTCTTAACTCCATAATCCAGAAGACCTCTGAATTCAAACCAACGCTTCAAAATCCCCACGGTTCTTCGCTCCACCACAAACTCCCTACCTAATCCCCGGAATACCAACCCAAGTCCTCTTCCTATACTGCACATACTCATCTCCGAAGAACGCCACCAGCAATTCTTCCTCGCCCTCGATTCTCCTATCGAAAAACTTCCATAAAACAAACGCATACCCCATCAAGCAAACCAGATTTCCACAAACAAGCTGTGTCCCAACAGCCCACCAGAAATATCCGAAATAACTAGGGTGGCGCAGAACGGAGTATAAACCCTCGGTGACGAGACGGTGGGTGGAGCGTTTAGTGTGTGCTACTATGTGGGAGAAATTACTGCCTGCTTGAAGCATGGCAGTTGCGCGGATTGATTGCCCTAGCAGAACCAGGAAGAGGCCGAGGAATAAGCATATGTAGTGGAAGTATGCGGGAAGAATGGGCGAAGGGTAGACTAGGTGCGAGACGAGGCATTCGAAAAGTGCCGCGGTGTGGGCGATTGTGTAGGCCGAGCCATTGCTTGCGAGGAGGAAGGAGGATACGCTTGCGGATGGCGTATTGGTTAGGGCGGTGGTGTAGAATTCGAGGAAGTGGAAGGTCGATAGGCTTGCCAGGAAAAAGGGGAGGCGCCAGAGAGACGTGGATTGGGTGAGGAGGTAGAGGGTTACTGTTAGAGAGATAGCCAATGTGAGGCCTAGGAGGAACGAGCGGAGGGCAATGCCCGAGAGGGATTTAGGCTGGCCTGGGAAGAACAACTGTTCGTAGGTATTGATTGCACTGGTGATTTCGGAGGTTGAGGTTATTGGTGGAGCTGGGGAGTTTCTCGATGAGCTTTGTGGTGGTGTTGGGATGTGTCCTAGGCCGCCATGGTTCATGAGAGACGCTGCCTCGTTGAAGGGATTTCGTCGTGCTGTCCGCGTTGCATTTCCATTTCCATTCTCGTTATCTCTCCAGCCACTATTCCCCGATGCCACTTCCGCAGACCCATCTATATCCAATCCCGCATCAAATTCAGCTTGGTCGTTGCCAACTGGGTTGTAGCCTTCTGTTGGTAGATTCGAAGCCATGTTCAGTGAAGAGTCGAACCGTTCATCTGCCGGATGTGTTGTATGTCTTATTTGGCTATATTATCATAGCTTATATATGAGGTATAGGATAAAGGGCTCGAGGGGAATGCGGAAAGTTGGAATTCTTTATCTCTTCAGCTTGCATCTCCGGACAGAGAATCCAACCTTGGAGACAAGGCTGGGGGCCATAGCTCTCGGCGAGACCCGACCCGGAAGCCGGCATGCCACCGGGGTTCTACCGAATTTTACCAGTAAGGCTGTGCCAGGTCAACCTCCACATACGTACATTGCGGAGTAGGTATGTAGGTGGGGGAGGCGGTAATATTAAGAAAAGCCAAGTACTAAAAAGGTTCAAGTACGAAGCGTTGAAGCCAGATGTCATAAATAGCCTTCCCTCGTACTCACCGTCAACTCGCTACCTACCTACTAAACTGTATTTCTAACCCTGAAAAACATGGACGATATAGAGAATGACGCTCGTATGGTGCGGGGAGAGCTCTACCATGCCTTCACACCAACGTTAACGGCCAGACGCAACAGATGCCATTTTGCCTGCGACAGATTCAATCAAGCAGGTGAAGCGTCCCGGAGACGGCTGGTGGAGCTTTGGAAAGAGTATGTGGAATCCTCAAGTCGAGCTTTCATAGTCAATGGACCATTTTACTCACTCAACTCTAACGTATTATGTGAGCAGTATTGTCGATGATAAGACCCCATTGCCTCCGCCAGGAGCGACAGAGGAAGAAGAGATGGAACTACTTCAAGATTATCCTTATATTGACGGACCCATCAAAGTCGACTACGGAACTCAGCTAAGGTATTTTATAATGTCCCTCAGACTCCCCCTCAAACTCCAGACCAGAAAGTATAGTTACGGGTACTCATTGTTAGTTAGGGTTGGAAAGGCCGTCTACATCAATTTCAACTGCGTATTCCTAGACACCTGCTATATCACTATCGGTGCCCGGACGCTGATCGGACCCAATTGTTCCTTCTTCGCCGCAACCCATCCTCTTGACCCTTTCCTCCGAAACGGAATCAAAGGCCCTGAACTCGGAAGTCCCATCAATATCGGCGAGGATTGCTGGTTTGGCGGTAATGTTACTGTGGTTGGTGGGGTTACTATTGGGAGGGGTTGCACTATCGGTGCAGGAAGTGTAGTAACCAAGGATGTCCCCGATTTCCACGTTGCGGTCGGCAATCCAGCCCGCATAATTCGGAAGATCGAGCCCAAGTACCCAGATCCTAATTTACTTCCTGGGGGAACAGACACATCGGCGGATTCCAAATCTGTGCTAGGTTCGTTGGCTTCTGGCCCTGCCTACAACCCAGCCCCTGGTGAAGGGTCTGCACCGTGATAAATCCTGAAGGGTGCGGTCCAAACGCACCTTCATTCCCGAAGATTTCTGGTGTAGCGCGTCATTTGAGCGGCTTGTCGTTAGCGAGGTTGTGAAGGACCAAATGAAGGATCCCGTGCCCGTTTTCAGTATATAGCAACGGTACAGCGTCTAGATATCTAGCATCATGCGACTCGGGGTTGGGATTTCGACATGGCGTTGTCTCGCGATAGTTGTTATCCTCGGAATTCACAACCCGCCTTGTATAGAGAATGAAGAAAGGATCAAGACCAAAACATTGGTCAGTGACCAAACGAATGGAATCCATGTTGACATCCTGAAATAGCCTGCAGTATAAACGGCCCCGAGACTGAAGACAAGGTCAGCAGGTATTCCCGTTTGAGAGGGTGTCGTAACCACTATCGAGGAGACACCGCGTTGAAATAGCTGCGATAAAGGAAATATTATACTGACATCAAGCCGACAATACTGCCCGCCATCAAAGCTTCGACTCCTGCAATTAGAATATACACCAATGGTATAACCCACACGTATTGCCACGCATGTTTTCCTTTCCCAAGTTGCATCAAAACCGCCCAGGCAGCCGCAGTGCCATGGAAGACACCGAATATAATGAGTGTCCACAGCAGCGTGTGTCGCCAGATGTCATAGGGAAAGTAGAGATAATTGGCCTCTCCTGGCCTCGCTTTGTATGGCCAGTAGAGCGATGGGAACGGTGGAGTTGTATAGTCCAGGGGGGCCGGATTTTGGAGGCGTGCGCTACAACTATGTTAGCCCGAAAAATAGGGGTTAAAAAAAGATCTTCATGGGATACTAACTTCGTCGTCATCTTGGGTCTCTCCGCTCAAAAGTGGTCAGCCTCGCGGCTGCGATATCGATGTTTGAGTGGATGTTGGCACCAGTGTGCTGTAGCTTCGGAATTTGAATCCACGCGAAAGGCTGAGAAGATGCCTCGGCTACACCCGCGGTTGTTCGACCTCGTGAAACCACCATACAATGAACCACCTACAACAAACAACACAAACCACCGCTGCAGATGATATATACAGCTGATAACTATGCCGGCGGATCGTCTCCTTAATACTGTGCTCCGCGCATACCAAGCAGCACCGAATCCAGAGCAAACCCCCAAAATCCTCTCGAGCACAACCTCACTGCTCACGACCCTCTCCAACCCGCTAAACGTCACCCTCCTCAGCTCACATCTCCTTACAGCGCCTGCTATCTGGAACCAACTTGACGGGCTTCAGACAAGTTTCCGAATCATCAGCGTATTCAATACTGCTGCCATCACTGTTCACAAGCATCAGCGGGAGGGCCGAAATGTCAAACCATACGACGCGTATCAACCAAGACTAGGAGGAGGAATCCCCCCCGATGACTGGGCAGTCGCTGTGGTGAAGGGCTTGGATGATCGATCACTGAGATGGCAACATGCGTTGGTCATTACAGGGGTTCTACTGGGGATGGAAGGGCAGCAAAGACATGGGCTATCTAGAGGACTGAGAGAAAAGCTCGAGAACGCCTTGGTGACTGCTGTGAATCTGGTGTTGCAAGACCCGGCCAGTACTGGGAATCTGGGGATGACTTCCGTTGTCCTCGCACTCAATCATGCATTTCCACTGTTATCTGATAGTGTCAGGAGGCTGTTGAACTATGATGGTTTAGTCATGAATTTGATCACCGCGATGACATGTATCGACGGATATGAAGATGGAATGTTCCTCGAGTCGATCGACCGCGATGTTCAGCAAGTGCCAGGCAACAAATTTGACTGGTCCGCGAAATCTACATCGTTCTTACGACTGCAGAACGTTGCCTCGAAGCCTTTAATCGCTTCAATGGGGCCGCTGTCGAGGCTCGTCTCACATGCAGTTGAGCATATGATCAATCCAACCCGCACTATTGAAGTTCTTGACCACCTACTTGTCTTCACGGGCAAGATTTTGGCAACCTGGCAATTGAACAAATTATCGGAACTCGACCCTTCTGAAGAAAACACTTTCCTCACACCAGAAACTCTTCGAGTTACATTTCCAGTTCTCTGGCAGGTCCTTAAGACTGCTATGTTTGCATCAGTAGTCATTCTACAGGCAATTATCTCCAAAGCACTCCTCGACCCTCACCTATCCTCAAAAGAAATTGCACCAGCAGTTGCTTCGAAGTCTCTCCTTGCTCTCCGGAGTATCCACTTTATATCCTCCCGTATGGGATCGAATACCTTTTCAGCCTATACCTTCGTTAACCTTACGTCTATCGATATTCTCAGCCGCTTCCCTCTACAATCTAGAGACCTCCTAAAGACGATCTACCCTCCTGAAGCAGGCCAAATCCCAATGCAACCCTTACAACGCAACCACGACCTCTTTTACCTTAACACGGCTGAACATTTCACCCTAATCCTCTCCCCATCAGACGCTGAGTCTCTCATCGTCGTCCCCACATCACCGTACCTCAATCCAACCGCCAACGTCCATCTCCTCGAGATCTTCGAAGCTGCCCACAGCTCGATGCTCGCCGTGCTGGCGGCACCACAAAACGGCGCTCTAGCAACCAAGATTCTACCATTTTACGTAGAATCCCTCTTCAAGTCCTTTCCCACGCATCTTTCGCCCCGCCAATTCCGCTTTGCATTCAAAACCCTGATGCAAATAACTACACCTCCAAGTCCGCTCTCAGCCACCGAGCAAAATCTTGCAGAAACCTTACTAGAGCTCCTATATCACAGAGGATTACATGCACCAACCGCCCCTCTATCCCCCACTGCAACAATTAAGGGCGACGAGGATGCACAACTCCAACCTCCCACACCACTATCCGAACAAGCCGTATTATTATTAACCCTCCAAGACGCGTTACCAAATCTCCCGCTAGTATTATTGGAGGAATGGTTACCGCATGTTGCAGGTCTTCTAAATGCGGTAAATGATGCTGGGATGAGAGACTATTGTAAGAGGATGTTCTGGGAGGTGTTAGAGGGTGGCGAGATGGATGTTGAAAGGAGTGCTGTTTGTGTTGCTTGGTGGGGAACGAGGGGTGGAAGGGAGAGTGTGCTGTTCGGAAGTACGGCGAGTGAAATCGAAGCAGGGCCTTTCATGAGTGGAGCGCTGGGGCAGAGGGAGAGTAGACTATAGTACGATCATCTAATGAGATATATGGGGTGTAGAAGGCTGACCTAGAGGATTTTTTAAAAGGATAATCTTGTTAATTACATCACTAAAATGGCTAGTGCTATATACCGTATATATGTGTGGTCTATTCGACCCCTAAATACTTCGTCGTTCACCTATATACGGAGTACCCGCCCCAAAACCTAACGGTACCTCCGGTAACGCTTGGCATCAACCCTTGGCAGGCACCTTCGCACACCCTTCTCGGGTCTCAAAGGGGGAATAGATCAGTATCATTGCATGTACATATAGTAGCATATAGGACTCTTCCAACAGCCTCCCCCACCTACATGTTCCTCCCTTCCACGTAGAGCGAAGGACCAAACTAACCAACATTACGGAGTACGAAGTATAGTAGCTCTTAACGGTTAGACGCATAATGACGTACGCAATAATCCTGGTACAAGATCTTGGTAGGGATACAAGCGGTCGATCGCGTCATATGCATGTACCAGGGATCAAAACAGGAGTGCGCGGGGCAGCAAACGCTGTCAAAGCAGGAGCAGGGGGTGAGGGGTACTTTTCAGCTCGGCAGGGGTGAGCTGTGCTCCAGACCGCATCTAACAAGTTGCACGAAGATCATGATACATTGTAGAACAATATGGCACAGTAGGTCAGTTATCATAAATATGGATATCATTACTGTGATCCTAGCTACCTAGCTACTTCTTGTGTGCAGTCAAGGAAACGAAAAGAAATCCCTCACAAATCGTACATCGAGTTGTGTCTCAGTTTAGTAGTTGTTGTTTCCGCCAATCCCACTCCCGGAGAAGTCGGTGTTGCCCGCCTCTGCCCTTTTGCTCTGGCCCTTCTCCACCAAGCCCTCGTTCTTCAGCATGTTACCGGCCTTCTCGAAAACCTTGCCGATCGTGCTATCGCCCCCCGTCTTGTTGTTGTCGTCAGAAGAGCCGTACCTGTCGGAGCTGCTGGTGTTGGTGTTGGATCCACCGTAGCCGCCGGCTGTGTTTGATGAACCATAGCTATCACCGCCCGTCTTGCGGTCACTTGAGCCATATGAGTCGGAGCTGGTGGTGTTGGATCCATAGCCGCCAGTGGTGTTGCCGGTGGATGAGCCATAGCTATCATCACCAGTGGTACGGCTGTTCTTTGAACCGTATGTGTCTGAGCTGGTGGTGTTGCCGGTGGAAGAGCCATAGCTATCACCGCCCGTCTTGCGGTCACTTGAGCCATATGTGTCGGAGCTGGTGGTGTTGGATCCATAGCCGCCAGTGGTGTTGCCGGTGGAAGAGCCATAGCTATCATCTCCAGTGGTACGGCTGTTCTTTGAGCCGTATGTTTCTGAGCTAGTGGTGTTGGAAGAGCCATAGCTATCGTTGCCAGCGTTGCGGGTGTTCGAAGAGCCATAGCTATCGTTGCCAGNGAAGAGCCATAGCTATCGTTGCCAGCGTTGCGGGTGTTCGAAGAGCCATAGCTATCGTTGCCAGTGTTGCGGGTGTTCGAGCCATAGCTATCTGAGCCAGTGTTTGAACCTAAGGTATCTTCGCCAGCGCGGGTGTTCTTCGAGCCGTAGCTGTCAGAACCAGTGTTGGACGAGCCATAGCCGCCGGAAGTCTCGTTTCTGGTGTTTGAACCAGTGTTGTTTCCAGACTGTGCAGCAATAGATGTTAGTAAGTCTCATACGAGTAGACGGAATGAAATGCCAATGATGGAGAATGAAAGTGGTTGGGAAACTTACGCCATAGGTGTTATTTCCTCCACGGCCAGTGGACTGAAGACAGCCAAGTTAGCAAATGCATGAGACAGTTACGAAGCACATCAAATGCCGTAAGGTGAAGATATTGAAGGCCTTACACCGAGGTTATCATCGCCATAAGAGCTCTAGAAAAGGAAGCTTGTCAGCAAAAGCCATAGAACTATAAGAGAGTATATATCGGAACTTACAGTGGTGTTGTCGTTGTAGTTAGACATGATGGGCTAACTTTATCGGATTGAAGAAGAGAGAGTTGGAAGAGTGGTTTTGGAGTAGGAAGAGTAGATAGGTTCGAGATGCTAGAGCTTGGGATGAAGTAGAAGAATCAGGGAGCTGAAGCTCTTATACCTTTCCACCATGAAGGGGGGTCCGCCTCTGACTCGAGCTAGATAATTACCCCTCATCTGCAGCAACGCGCAAACAGGAAAAGGAATTTGTAGCCCCAGTAACGCCCATTCCGTGTGCGATGGGAGAAAAGGAATGTTGCGTCATGTCTTCATATCTGGCCTGCCACACCCTGTTTCCCAACCTCGAGCTGTTTCTGGATGCCCCGAATGAGCCTGCCTAATCCCAAAGCACGCACTCGGATCTACAATCAAATCGCTCATAACGGATACAGGACACAATTGGGATCCCTGGACATTGTTTCTCCTTGACTAGTATCGGACTATAACTGTAGGGTCTAGCCTGTCGGGCTTCTGTCGGTGTCGCCGCAGCATAGCTTGTTTTTGCCCCGCGGTGGGGAAATAGCTGGAGCAATTGACGCATTCATTCAGCTAGGAAGGGGGGGCCAGGGCATTGCGAACATTGCATGTGAGACATTAGTAGTGGGGGATTGGCGAAGATGCGCGAAGTAGTGAGAATAGTTGGCGCGTTGCGTAGTAGTGCGAACGGACGGGGGAGAGCGATAGTGGTAAGTTCCTAGTGCAAGGCTGTGTGCATCAGCTCGAATGGCAACACCGAAGCTCCCCACGGTCGTCGCCCTTCACATCGTGGCTACGGTGGCGGCAATTGGGGCGAATCACGTGCGACACAGGGCGCCTGCAGCATGTATCAGGCCTCTTGGGGTTGAGTTGTTTGAGTAGTTGACGGCTTCAGCTGGCCTAGCATCAAATACAATAGTAGTATACCAGTAGATAATACTACGATGCAAGCCTCCCGTCCAAGTTCCAGTATCACCGAATAGCCGCCAATTCTTCCGGCAGCTGGGAAAGGTCTCCCCAGTAGAATCCCCCAGTGGCAATCTCGTGTTCCTGAATCTGACCAGATCAACGCCATAACTTACACAGATAACCAAACCACCGGTGGATCGCCTCATCGCACATATTTGCTGCACCGCGCGTTAGCCAATGGTCAATTTAGCTTCTAAAACAGAACTATCACTAACCTCATAAACCGCTTGTGGAAGTCTGAACGTAATAGATCCTAGATTGGAGATTAGCATATCGCCACAACTGTTTATACTTCCCGGGATACAACTCACGTTGATGAATTCCTTCTTCCCCTTGTCATCCGTCCCACGCGCTTGGTTCTTAAAGATCACATCGTCGTCCCATCTAAATCTCATGTCAGCAAGAAATACTCCATGTTAACAACTCGAATGACTTACCTGCGCTTGACGTTGAAATCGGATTTCGGGTTTAGCAGGGGGTTGCCAAGTGCAATATCATGTTCCTTTTCAGCTTCTTCCGCGGCGGCTTTTTCTCGTTCCTACACCCCTCAGCGTTAGATATGCCATAAATCACCATCCTGAAAGATCATCCCATACCTCTTGTTCCCTTTTCTCAGCCCTTTCCCGTTTGATTTTCTCCAATTCTCGCTGGAGTTCTGCCGTCTCGTCTTCGTCATCATCACTAAAACCGTCAGCACTTCACTCCCAGGCATCAGCAGGACAATTGTTATACCTGTCATCCTCACTACTATCGTCTTCGTCATCATCCTCTGAGTCCGCATCAATATCCCTAGTCTCTTCCAATATCCGCCTCCGCTTAGCCTCAGGGTCTTCATCCTCGCCGCCACCAGCCTCGAGTTGGCGCTTCGCAGTAGTCGTCAACGGTTCTGGCGCATCTGCTACTAGAGTGGGTCCTCCTTTAGTCTTCGCGAAGTGTGCTGCCTCAGCTTGAAGTAATTCGGCTCGAAGGTCGCGGACCTGGTGATCTGCATCTCCGCCTTGACCGGCTTGCCTGCAAAAATGTTAGAACCTCAACCCCCAACGCGGTGACTAAAGCTTACCGAACTTTCAACTGCGTATGAGCTGGTAGGAGACGTTGATGGTATGCTGGCCCTCTTTGGGCGTCCTTTCCCCTTGCCTGTTCTGGAGTTAGTCGCGGTTTGCATATGGGTGTTCGAGCTTCCTTACGGGGTCGAATGTGGGTCTATGAGCTGCGAGATGTTAGCCAGAGCACATTAACAATATGCCCATATCGGAATCTTAAGCACATACCAGTAGTCATGATTGCGGCGTATTCCTAAATTCTTGTAGGGCGATTGCTCGTGATATCCAAAAGATATCCAGCCTCAGCAAGATAACCGCAGCCTTCAACGCTAAGCCTATCTGAGCCCACCGCCCAGAGTTCTGCCGCATGAAATTCCTCATGGGCTGAAGAACCACACCTGCGATAAACCCCACCTCCAGCAACATACACAATCCAAATATACAACCATGCCACGAGAAGTTGAGCCTTCTCTAAATGAGAGGCAATTCTTCGTTAAAGCGCTACAAGAAAACCTACGGATAGATGGGCGGCCGTTCGATCAATTCCGAGCCCTTGAGCTGGAATTCGGTGATGAATATGGAGTCGCGGATGTACGGTTAGGGAAGACGAGGTATGTATTTACAATTATAACTTCAAAAGGGGGTTTTGCGCATCTCCCATATGCAGCCTGTTACCTCTACATATGCCATGTACTAATGAACATTTTCCAATCTAGAGTGCTCGCAAACATCACCGCCGAAGTAACAGCTCCCTTCCCAGACCGACCTTTCGACGGCCTCTTCACCATAACTACCGAACTATCCCCCATGATCGCCCCATCATTCGAAGTAATGCGCCCCTCAGAAACCGAAGTCCTCCTCTCGCGCCTCCTGGAGAAAACCCTCCGTCGCTCCGGCGCCCTAGACACCGAATCACTGTGCCTAATCGCAGGCTCAAAATGCTGGTCCATCCGCGCAGACGTGCATGTCCTCTCCCATGACGGAAATCTAGTAGATGCGTCGTGTATCGCAGTTCTTGCTGCGTTGCAGCATTTTAGGAAGCCGGATACGAGTACGGAGGGGGAGGAAGTCACTGTCTATACGTTGGCGGAGAGGGAACCTGTGCCATTGAGCTTGTTGCATTACCCGTACTGCGTTACCTTTAGTTTCTATTCGGACCCAAATGTAGCCACGGCGGGTGAAGGGGGAACTGCCGAGCATCAAAGCGAGGTTGTTACGCTATTAGACGCCACGCTGATGGAAGAGCAGTTGAGGGAGGGGTCTGCGACGATTGGGATTAATCGCCATGGAGAGGTGTGCCAGATTGCAAAGTTGGGAGGTGTGCCAGTTGATGCTGTGGCATTTTTGGGATGTGTACAAATCGCGCTGGTAAAAGTAAAGGATATTTCGGCGTTTGTGACTAGGCGACTAGAAGAAGATGCCAAAAAGAGAGATAAGGGAGGGTTAATGGCCGAGCTTAGGGCCCAAAACGATAGATGAATTACAACTATAATGATTAATGAAGATAAGCTAATGTGGGCATATGCGGTCTATAAAACTATGGTTTCACAGCATTCTGACTAACGCTGCCATACTTGGCTTGCCAGGCGAAGAAGTAGAGCAGAGCTCCCAGAGGCTGTCCAATAAGCGTGAATGAAACCCAAAATATACAGTTTCCTATCACCCTCCCGTTAATACCCTTCATTTTCTCTAGTGGCGCTGTCATTGCAATAAGTGGGAGTTGGGCAACCATGCCTAGGAAGGCAACACCTGCGTTGAGTCAGTAATTAAATTTCCAGTAGTATTCGACGTTATAGCAATAATATGCACTCACCGAGGATGTTATGCGTCGGTATTCCTACGAGCAATTCGTGTAAAACTCCCGAAAATACAAATACAGCAATACTAGCCGAACCAGAACTCCAACCTCTCCCAATGAGCGGCGAGAAAACATGCCGTTTCATGAATTGATAAACAGGCTTGTTCCATGTCCTCCAATAAACTCCAAGACTGGGGCTGTTCCACCAATCCGTATAGAATTCCCGATCCCCAAATCTCATGACTTCCGCCAATGCATTTAGGAATGACTGGAACAGGGCGAAGAACCCTGCTAGCCAGATCACCAAGCTTATTGTGGATAATTTCATCAACCGTTCCAGGATGGATGGCAAGTCAAGGGATGCCATTTTATCCAATGAGTTTTGTAGGACTGGCACAGCATACTGCGCGCTGACTATCCACATGAACACGCCTAACCCAAAGACTTCAACGAGACGCTTGGCAACGAATACCCATCGAATTTTGTCTGTCCTTGGGTATACGGGCTGGTACACCAAGGTTGGCGCCCACCAAAAGTACGTGAGGTTGCTGAGTGTGGCATTCTCAGGGTATGGACACTTGCTATATATCTCGGGAAGAGCATCTTCTTCCCGCTTCGAGGGATGCAAGTATGCGTGCCGGAGATCTCGGTTCGTGAACGCGTAGGATGCAGTCTTCAGCCATACGATAATGGCGTGAATTTCACTCAATGTCCCAATTAAGGGATGGTGGATGAAGAAATAGACAATGACAGAGGTGATGAGTAGGCAGAATGTGATATTGATGCCGTGTATCCAAGCGATTAACTTCCATGTCGAACTGAAGCGTCGCTTTTCCTCGTCCGATGCAACATAGCTTCCTCCAGGTGTAGCTACCCCGCTCCGCCCTTTATGGGCTTTCAAGGATGCTCTTGCATGTTGGGCGGCAGCCAGTTCGATAACGTACGCAACGAAGAGATGGCATGGGATTAGAAAGTATAGGGCGGCCCCGAGCATAAGATCTTGCCGTCGATAGTCGTGGCATCGTATACATATTAATACACCATACTGTTACCCATTAGCTCGAGCCCCCCAAATAATATACTCCAGGACACCTACCTTCTTAATATTCTCGATCATTAATCGCAGGTTCCCAACAACTAAGGTATAGTCAGCCTACAAATCCCGCCATCCGTGTACCAATGGCACCAATTCAGCGTACCCAGCACAATGATCATCAAATTCCTAAAACCGAGAAAGCTTGGGCTTGCCTCCGAGTCGTGACTGAGACATGATGTTTGTGGCTTCGTATGCGCAGCAGCGACATGCCGATATTTCTTTTTGACGTGTATTCGAATAGGAGCAAGAGGTTGAAGAGTCGGTGGTGGTGGCGAGTCGCGATTGGTGCTGCGACTGCGCTTGACATGTGAAGGCGCAGATCGTTTGATAGGCGTATCGGGGAGGACGTCTGCGCCCGTAACCTTTGCTGTATCTATGGTGGTGACCATTTTACTGTGTCGGTTGAGGAGGACATGAAAGAAGTTGCAGAGGAAAAGAAAGAATGTACGCAGAGACAGGGACACGAGAAGAGGAATGCAAATGGGACGGGGAAGGCGAAGTTCCTCCTGGCCGAGCCGGCCTCATTGAACCAAGGGAGCAATAACTGCACAGTAATAAACCAGGCGCAAACTTATCTGGGTCTGGAAGCCAAGGGGGCAACGGAGCGGGGCAGGATGGGAGGAGCAGGGAGAGAGGTTTATCAGTGGCCAATGAGTGCGTGTAGAATGAACATAAGCCAACAGTACAAGACGAGAAAGCAACGGGGAAGAAGTTATATATAGAATATTAAGAGAGAGACTGAAACTGTTGGATTGTAACTTCAATTCGGCGGGAAAAGGGTTGCCGTGCAACAATAACGGGGTTCTCTCGCTGCCATGTCCGAAGTAACAAGTATAATAATAGAGTACCGAGCAGCGTTGGTTCCTTGCTTGATTACGTAGCTCGTAGGAAGTCGGGACAGGGTGCTCGGGCATAAGCGACCCGTGGGCGCTAGGTGAAAACATTATCCGAGTCCGGGTTTTGGGAGCCCGCTGAGGTAAGATCTTACTAATATTCCTCCATGTACCATACCAACGAAGTACGTCGATCTGCTTTTATTATCTACGTGCAAGCCCGCCGCGGTACCTAAGGTAATGCGACGACAACGTGATCGCTGCTAAACACCATTTTTATCACAAACCACATCTCCCGTGACGGGCCCCAGTGCTCATCCGCCAACACCAAACCAAGGGCATAATCATTTCGGCCACCGGTCTGAACCTAACAGCATCCCGCCAGCACCGTCAAGCATGACGCGGTAGTGAGAATGGCATACGAACAGCGCGGCGAGCGCGACTTTGCTGCTCAAAGGGGCGGTGGTGAAGGTGGCGGTGGAGCCTTTGAGGGAGGAGGAGGATTTGGCCGAGGACGAGGCAGACGTGAGTTCCAAAGATTGATTGATTCGTTCCCCATACGCATGCTGGCCCAGCCCCGAGTATCTATTGCGAGTCACGGCTAGACTCTAGCTAGACTCTCGCCACAAAGGCAATGAAGAATCTTATACCAAACACACCATTATTTATTTCATTTTCGGTCGAGTCTTGTTCCAGTATCTTGTATCTCTTTGTCCCTTTACCTCTACTACCTTTGGACCACGTGATTGACCCTCCCCCTCCCCTTTCCCAAGTTATGATTTTGAAGCAAGAGGGCATAACCAAGGCTAACATTAGAGGACTTCAGGACCTGTAACTGATTATGGCTCCACCATGGTTCATTGGATGCGCAATCGCCAGCCCAGATTCAAAGGAGGGTACCAAGGAGAGTTTGAGAGACCAAGCCCGAGCTACATCATTGATGTAACACCACCTCTGATCTTGAGATTAATTAGTAGATCATACTAACGTGCCATAGATTCTACCCCCTCTAGCCCGACTCCAAAATCCCGCAGACTCGATACCATCTCGGCATCTCCATTCTTCCCTAAACAAAATAAAGCACCCCGTCAATGTGGTACGCTGGACACCAGAAGGCCGACGATTACTCACCGCTTCCAGCAGTGGAGAGTTTACTTTATGGAATGGGACTGGTTTTAATTTCGAGACCATTATGCAAGCACATGATGTAGCTATCCGAGCCTTGTCTTACTCGCACAGTGATGACTGGCTCTTGTCAGCTGATCATGACGGGATCATCAAGTACTGGCAACCCAATTTTAACAATGTCAAGGTCATTCAAGGACATAGTGACCCTATACGAGACCTTGCCTTCAGTCCGAACGACTCCAAGTTTGTCACGGCCTCGGATGACTCTTCGTTGAAGATTTTCGACTTTGCCGGAGGCATGGAGGAGTCCACTCTCAGTGGTCACGGATGGGATGCAAAAAGCGTTGACTGGCATCCTACCAAAGGACTCCTTGTTTCTGGATCGAAGGATCATCTTGTCAAGTTGTGGGATCCTCGGACGGGTCGCTGCTTGACAACTCTCCATGGCCATAAAAATACCATTACAAAGACTGTATTTGAAAGGGTCAGAGGTCAGTGTCTAGCAACTTCGGCACGGGATCAAGCCGCACGTGTTTTTGATCTCAGGATGATGCGTGACATCGTTTTGCTCAAGGGCCACGAGAAGGAAATCTCGACCTTGACTTGGCATCCAATTCACTCCTCGCTTCTGAGCACTGGTGGAGGCGATGGAGCATTATTCCATTACCTTCTCGACGAACCAAATACCCCTCCTGGCGTGGCTCCTTCTGTAGCGCCATATGACACTCCTGACCCATCTATAGCCCCCGCCCAAACAATATACCCAGCTCACAAAATTTCCTACGCTCACGACTTCCCTATCTGGTCACTGGACTGGCACCCCTTAGGTCATATCCTCGCATCCGGTTCAAACGACCGGGTCACCCGCTTCTGGACGAGAGCACGTCCAGGAGATGTAGACACCTTCAACGACCGCTACCATATCGGCGAGTCAGCGGCTGAAGCCCAAGGAACCTGGGATCGTCGCGGAGGTCGGCGACAACGACAGGAGGAAGAAGAGCAAGAAATGGAAGACGAAATGGAGGGACTGGTTGACCAACAAATGCCATCAAAACTCCCCAGTTTCCCAGGCATCCCCGGCCTACCGCTTCCACAATTTGGCAAGGACGGCAGTACTGCACTGCCTAAACCCCAAATTCCAGGAATGGGCGGGGCTGTTCTCCCTCCACCTCCTCCTTTCGGCGTGAGTGGTGTCAATGTACCTCCGCCCCTCCCAGGCCTTGATCCCAATAACCCTCCCGATTTCGCAAAACTAGCAGAGATGATGAAGAAAGCTGGCCTACCTCCACCCCCGCCTCCAATGGCCGGCGGACAATCGCAGTTTGCACCTCCGCCACCGGGAATGCTTCCTCCCGGCCTATTTCCACCTCCCGGGAATTTCCAGATCCCGCCTGGATTTCCTCCCCCTCCTATGGGTGTACCACCACCTCCATTCCAAATCCCTGGTATGGGCGGGGGCCAGGGGAATGAAAACAATCAACAGGACAGCAGTGCTGCTAGTGTGAGGAGACGAGGCCCGTTGCCAAGTCAGGAGGAGAGTTTGAAAATGGAGCAGAGGCAAGGGAAGTATACTCGGTCGAGGTAGTAGGAGCCCTACGATAATGGGGAGATGTCCAACAGACAAAGTAGAGATGGCAGGAATATGGGGTGTCTGGTCTGGCGTTTCGTTAATTGACGGCTGGAAGAGGCATCTTAATAGGAATTACCGTCTCATCTGTACTTTTTGTAACAAAAGCTCTTAGAAATTCTTTATCTCATATGGGGATCACGAAACAAGAACACGGCATCTGGATATAAGTTTGTGATCTGTATGTATGGTATATGCTTGGTGACTATATAGTCCTAATGCTACAATGCTAGATATATGCACTCCAAGGCAATATGAAGCTAAATAACACAACAAAACGGCAAAACGCCAAGGTACCATGCCACCACCACGCTACTATGCTGCTATCCTAAATTCACAACCCACTCTAGCCGCCTTGGGGTAAAACAAAAACAACTTTACAATGCCCTCGCGGGCTATTCCAACTCTGTATATCTATACCGTATATCCTCCGATATCATCTACACACCCAAACTCATCATAAACTCGAACTCCCCGTATTATTCCTAGGACTCGTCCTTGTCGGCGCGGTCACAGCCTTCTGTTCCTTCCCAAACGCCTTCTGCTTATCCGCATACTCCTTAATAACCAACGCACAAATCGTATCCGCACAAAGCCTCTTCCGTCTCTGCACGGGCAGCTTCGTCGCAAATTCGAGTCCGCTGGCCCTCTCCACTGCTTCCACCGGTACTTCGAAATCCGTAATCGGCTTCTCGTTCGGTATCGGTGCATTAGGCAGGACGAAAGCACCTAACGCGACGGGTCCAGATGTCGTCCCATCCTCGGCGAAGATAACTTTATAGAAATGCGTTGGCACGGCGATGTTTGGTGGATTCCCGATGACTTCATACGAAACGCGCCATTTTCCATCCGTAGTATCGCGTTTGGGCAAGTACAGTGGTCCCGTAACGATGCGGACAGATGGGTATTTAACCGTCAACCTCCTGCAGAAATCCTCGAAATGCGCCCAGTAATCCCGGTTGAATCCCTCTCCTACCTGGGGACACATATTTGACAGATAAAAGGTATCGTTCATAGCTTCCTGGCTCCATTTTGCGTCCGCAGCAGGAACCTGATGCCCTCTATCGTAGCCAGAGCGGAAATAATCTTTTAGTTTGCCGCGGAACTTTTCTGGGACTGCGCTGTCTTCGACGAAATTGCTGTGTTTGCGGTCCCCATTAGAGGTGGCGAGGGATGCGGGAGTTATATGTTCTGCTACCCAGCTGGGGTTTCGCAGTCGCCGGTCGAAGGAGGATACCAGCGCAGAACGGGTTGCGAGGTCTGCCACTGGCCCGGGGAAACCATATTGAAAAAGTCCCGTGGGGTCGACTGGAGGCAGTATAACACCTTTGTTTCCTATTGGGATCGCGGCTGGGACTGTTGCTGGGACTGGTGCGGGAACGGAGATTGTGGGTGTTGCAGAGACAGACGTTGATGGGGATACTGCTGCCGCTGCTTGGTTTTTTTTCTCGGCGCGTGTAGAATACATTGCGACCGTAACGCCTGCTCCTGTAGCTGCGCTGACGGCGGCGATAACTGCGATGGTGGCTTTAGACATGGTGAAGAGCGAGCCCCCGGGGCTGGAGAGAACTAGAGGGTATTTATTTTGGCGGGGACGAGCAGCTGGCTGTTGTAGTCACGAAGCATATAGAGACGCGTGTGAGAAGTTCGAGCAGGTGTTGATGGTGTAAGTCACGGGCCAATAATAAGTGGGCAGAAACCCTTGTCAGAAGCCGGTTGAATCTCGGGGTCGCAACAGTCTCGAGGACGGTGGGGACGAAAATAACTCGCGGGCGTGGTGTCACGAAGACATACGAGACACGATGTGTATCACCAAGATCCGCTGTCCCAGAGACCAGGTCGATACGTATATCACGAGCAGGAGGCTCAACTTGGCCCTTCTGACAGCAATACTAACAACGCAGTCATCTCCACGGCGGGAATGGCCGCGCGTGGTACCGTTTACTGTGCCTGTTGTCAAGTACCCATCGTACCCCCCGTACTCGCCATGTTCAAGCATCTGTCCCTCTACACCTGACCGAATCTGCTCTCTTCATATGCCGCTTATATGGAAATTCAAGCCGAGGCTCAGTTTCTTAACGCCGGCCCTTGCGTAGCGGACATGGAGAAAGATTTTAGCTATTCCTGTTGAGTAGATGGAGATCCTCGTTGCTAAGCTATTATCAAGGAGATAAATCCGTACTACGTAAGTAACGAATAGATTCGCTGATCATCCCCTAAACTTATTGCATACTCTCGTTCAACGCCGGCTATTTCTTCCCCTTCTTTTTGTTCTTCGCTTTCCCACCTCCCGTAGCCTTCTCAACCTTCACACTACCCGCCCCACCAGCAAGCTCCAGAGTTTCGCCCACTTCCTTGACGACACCTCCTTGTGTCAAGTCTGCAGCTTTCTTCTTCCCTCTCTTTCCCTTCGKCCGATACGTACTCCTATCTCTCAGCGGTAACCACCTCTCTGGATCCAATTGCTTGCCTTCCTCGAAATCCTTGGGCATCTTGCTCTTCCGTAGCTTTTGCTTCTTGGCCGGTTTCTCCTTCTCTTTCTCCGCTGCTTCAGCCTGTCGCTTCTTGCTTGATGTTTGGGAAACAGTAGGCAGGGTTGGGATTCCAGCCTCCTCGAGCGCAGCAGCGTCAACGCCGGAGATAAGACGAGAGACAGGGGAGAGTTTTTCTAGATCAGGTGAGACCTTAGATAGCTCGGTTGTAGCATATGAAGCGACGAAACCTGCAATCGCAGTGCGATCATTGGGATCCTGTGCCCGAAGAGAGGAGAAGATCTCCCCGGCAGCGGTTAAATCTACTGGATCCGAGGACTCTAGAAGCGACGTTCCTGCTGCTCGAAGTAATGTAGGCACCTTCTTTGATTTTCGCCTCCAGTGGGAAGCAGCTCTGCCTAACTCGGTCTTTATAGGTGCTTTCCGACCTGAAACCCGGTAGAGGGACACAGCGAGCGCAACAAGACCGGGTGCAAAGCGCACATCTTGGTCAGAAGGAGTAGTCGATTGCTCGAGGCGTTTGAAAAATGTTTCCAAGAGGGTGATAGCTGATCCATGATTGTTCGTTAGGATGTAAAGTTGGATGATGACAAGAATAAGTCCGACGTCGCTTGGTCGTTTCTCCAAAAGCGGTAGCATTTGCTTGAGAGCAGCCTTTCCAGCCTCGGATTTTGCGTGAGCGGCAGCGTTGAGGACGGAGAGGCTGTTGATGAAAGGAGATATCGTTGGGGAGTGCGACTTGCTAATGATGGACGCCGTACTAAAAGCTACCCCGGAGTACTTGAGGGACTGAAGGTCAATAACATATCTATTCCTCCGTAATATGCTCGACTGATGCTCGAAGTGGTTTTCTCCATGTGCCAACGATGGGACCGAGTCGAAGATACGCTCGGTCATGAACGGATTGTCATTCTTCGTAGATGCAGCCAAGGAGTTATTCTGGGCAATGGCTCGGGTAGGCGGCTCAGGAACACTATAACAAATTAGTAAGGGGTCATTCGAGGATGGTCGATATCATACTCAGCAATGTTTATCATCCTCTCTAGAGCTGCAGCCTCTTCTAGCTTCCCCAGCTTTGTGAACACGTAAGCTTGCTGTACCATAATGGGCAGAACCTCAGCCCTCTTTTCCTCATCGCCCAGCTCATCCAGGGCTTCGCACAAATCTCTCGCCCTCTTCAATAGCACACTCCCAGCGGCCATGTCTCCTCTTGCAATACACCCACAAGCAGCATTATACGCGGTTTCAAAGGCTTCAAGATCTTCCCGGCTGGGCTTCTTCCTACTGGGCTCAACCTTATCTCCATGGCCCTGCCATTCCAACTGCGCATCGACGGCGGAACTGTTGATCCTTAAATCGTTCTCCTCGCCCTCGATTGCTGGTGCCTGTCCACTTAATTCATCGTATATCCTCGCGGCATCCTCGAATTTCTCCGCGCGATAAGCCACTTGTGCAGCGACATGCTTCAGGCCTCTCCTGCCCCCTTTTTGTGCCAATTTCTCAGCTTCGTCAAGCTGGCCGGTTTTATACAGGGCATATGCCTTTTCGAGTGCGCAGCGCTCTGCCAGCTTGTCTCCGCCGTCATCGAGGGCCCGTAGGGCATCATGGAAGCGATCAAGCTTCAAGAGAGCTACTACTCGAGTGTGCAAGGCGTCCGGATTATTTTTTGAGGATCTTAGAACGGCATTGACGGCCTTCAGGACTTCTTCATGGTCCTCAATCGTGGCGCCCTTCAGAAGAGAGGTGAGCGTTGCCGTGGGGTTGGAGGCCATGGCGGGAGATTCCTATGGTTTGCGAGGCAGTGTGAATAGATAACTACCGCACTTGGCGCATAGCGTGTCGTGCAATACTGCAATATTCCGAGTAGTACCGCCTGTGAATATTCCAAGTGCACAGGTTTAGTCTATCGCCTTACTTCGGGGGTGACGTTGAGCGTGAATGTTGGGGAGCCTGTGCCATGGCGGGGCATTTTTGGTGCTTGTGGCCTCTGAGCCTGAGGAAATGTTCAGTGGGGGATTCGCTTCCCGTGGCACCACGCCAATAGCAATGCTTGGAGCCGGACAGGCACTTTGGCTTTCGACATAGCGTTCCTTAATAAGGCTCTAAGGTGCTAAGTTGCTAATAAGTTGCTAAGTTGCTAACTATCTAGTATCGAGGCACTAGTAGGTTTGCCAACCTACAATATCTATTCTGTCACTCTTTGCTTGATAATGCGTGCAGCCTCCAGCCACAATCCGAAGCCCTTGCTTGGGCTTGGCTATCCCGCCGCAAGAGCAGTTCTCTTGAAGCGCTCTGTCCACAGCTGGCTATAACCCGGGCAAGCGCGCGGGCATTAACCAAGCCCGCAAGCAGGCCTGCAACGACAAGACAAGGGGACAAGGGGATTGAGCATTGCCGCCGCCATTGACTCGTGTTATTGACAGTTGCCGCTGCTCCCTCAATGGACCTGCATCGATATGGCTGAGACTACTCCGGTACAATCCTTTTGGCTGTTCGCTAGGGCGTCCACCCCCCGCCATCCATGTCCCGCGCTGTAACTCCAGGCCCCCAGCCAGCGTCAAGCTCGACAAGGCTGCTCTGTTGTGCTCTGCTCTATTCTGCGCCATGCTGCTCTGCTTATCCTCCCTCTGCTTTGGACCTTTGGTCATCAGTCCATCGTTCAAAAGCCCATCTCTTGCGGTTATCCCACAGTCTGCTGAACGTATCCAAGTTTCACGGCCGTTAGGCTAAAGGCCGTCCAATACCTTCGTTTCAATTCAGCCAAAGTAAGCTTGACACGCTGGCCATCGTCGCCATCCCCATCAACACCCCTCCCCCCC